TTCAAATCTTACTATACTTGCTTTTATTTTGTTTCCAAAAGAGCCGTTACCTGGCAGGGCGTCATTACACTATATGTCTGATAAATATTTTGACAATTGGTTGAAACAGTGACATTATTTTGGTTATTAACAATTCCTTCATTTAAAAGGATTTATTCCACAAGAGTTTAAAGCGCTTTATGGCAGCAGATTCATATTTAGATTCATTTGAATCGGCAGTTGCTTGTAATTCTGGCTTATCCCTAAAAACACTTGTTACATGCATCTTTAATGCAAGGAGTAAGGTGCCCATTTCTGGCCTATAAATTAAGACAGCAAAGGTTGGATCTAACAAACATGCAGCAGATGCAAGTGGATTAAACGTAACCGAGTCAGGCTGCAGAGTTGATTTAAACCTTTAACGTAGATTTGCAAAAAGATTAGATGTCAAGGTATTGTTAGTAGGATGTTTTTGAAAATGTTATTTCAAGTTAAGCATAGGTGGTAGAACCTGTGAAAGGGAGTGGGGATTGGTTTGAAGTATATCCATTTGTACTGCAAAGAATTCTAAAAGTGAGAAAATGTTTTAAAGCTAAACCCATTCACTAGCTTTGAATGTGTAAATTCCTAAACTTAAGAAAACCATCTGAAATTAAAGTTTACTAATAGCAATTACAATAACTGATAATTGTCATCGTTTTACCAATCTTCCGTTTTCCATGCTTTTGTGATATGATTTAATAGACAGGATGTAGTCTTTACTAAATATCCCGTCTTTTGAACAGAACATATATCCTGTTCTTTTTTCAATAATAATGACTAAAGAACTTTTTTCAATTTATTGCTACTTTTATTTTCTTAGTTTAAATAAGATAGCAGTTTTACGAATTTTAAAATCCCAAAAATAGTTTGTATGCTCTAATAGCATAAATAATATATACCTATTTATGTTAGAACTTCATTCACTTGTGACTTTATTTTCAACAGTCAGTTAATTATGTAGAGTTCTATCTTGTGGTACAGTCAGTGATCAAAGATTTCACACACTTGTTAATAAGTTTCTTAATTTCCACACTTGATTTTCTAATTTTTGATACAACTTGTCTTGTTTCTGAGACAGTTTAACTACAGTGTTTGTAAATTGGTTTTATAAGAAGTTGAAGTATGTGAGCCATAAAGGGCGTTCGACGATATGGGATATGTTCTAGCAGGGATAAAACAGTTAATTCAAAATGAGAATGGGTGTCTTCCTCGTTTGTTTTATGTTCAGACTCGTCAGATTCTTTAGATTCAGACTCGACAGATTTTACGGCTGCGTGCTCTTCCTGTAATAGTCTGATGGTTTTAACCATATTAGACTCATTGTCTGAAACAATTAACATAACTTGATCTTCTATAATAATCCAATGGTCGAGTTCTAATACCACAGTGATCATAACGTTCTGTAAGCATCTCACTCGTATGCGGATGTTTGAGTACCATCAAATTTAGGAAAACATGTCGTGTTTGATCAATGGTGGTGTCATAGAAACACGCAGATATTCCAAGTAACAATGCTGTTAGACTATTGTTTGTCCAACCATTGAGACAAATTGTTACTTTTTGTGCGCAAATTAACAATTTTTTTTAGTCGAGTAGATTGTAGATGAAAATGTTCGTTTATCCGCTTATTTAGTGTTGCAGACCCAGTAATATAAAAGTTAAAGTTAAAATTATAGCATTTAGTGTTGTAATTACTTAAATTATGGGTAAATATGTGAATTAAATTTGAAATAAGTATATAATTTTTGTTAAATTACTGTTAATGTAAACTTGCTCGAATTTACCATAAGTTTGCTTTAAGTTTCCATAAATTTTAGTATTTTTCCATAAATTTCAGTATTTTTCCATAAATTTCAGTATTTTTCCATAAATTTCAGTAATTTTACATAAATCATGGTCAACTTAAAATAATTTAAAATAACCGTGAAATAATAACTTCATAGTTATTTTTGGTTACCAATATCGGTTATTGGTAATAATGGTTATATAATTTTGGTTACTAATACTGGCTACAATTAATTGTAAGTTATTTCGCATTATTTCTTTTAATTTGGGTTTCTAGGGTTATTTAGTCCTTTTGACGCACCGATAATAGTATATTTATTTTAGGCAATCCACTGCACTTTATAAAATTTAAATTCGGCTAACCCTAAAATATCACAAATTTGGCTACTGGAAGTTTCTATGCACTCTTATAGGCTAGTTTAAAACATTTAAAAATTGTTAAGCATTATTAGATTTAAAATACAATATTTTACAAATCTAGTTGTTTAATTACCTTGAAATTTAAATTTTGGGTCAAACATTTTTATCATCTTTCGAAATGACAACTGATCTAGCAATGACAGTGGGTAGCTGGTATTGACAATTATTTAAATCACACTATCCTGAGTCGATGCTCACATGTTTCTGTTGGCTGCTTTGTTATTCAGTGTTCAAAGCACTGAAAGTTAGTTAAGTTAAACACATTATTAAATAAATAAAAACATTATTGGGTGAAAAAAATCCATTTTTCTAAATAATACCTGCACCATATGTAGAATAATTATAAAACGTCATAACGAAATTCCTAGCTAAATGTTACTTAGTTTCAATGAGTATTTGCATTCATTCAACTTCAATCTCTTAACAACCTTTGTCATGTTGGAATGATTCTCACTCAGAGAATCATTCTAACATGACAAAGAGGCTAAAACAAGTGATGAGTCGGTTGCTGAGCATGTTTCTCTGAAACTACAATCTTCTACCCTGACTCTAACCTTCAATGATCATACACGTATATATATATATATATATATATATATATATATATATATATATATATATATATATATATATATATATATATATATATATATATATATATATATATATATATATATATACTTTCATGTGTATTTTATTTATTGAATTTTACCCTTTTATCAATATTTTGAGTTTTGAAAAAATAAAATTATTTTTATTAATTTTTTTGGGGTACTCTGATAAACTTAAGCCTTAAATATCTGAGCTGTGTAAAGCAAACAGATAGACTTAGGAAAAAATGGCTAACTATTATTAAAAGTCCAATAAGTTGGTAAAATATCAAAATAAAGTGATGGCAGATAAAAATTTAAGTTAAAATAGTGACTAGTTTTTTACTTTTTTGATCAAAAATTAAAAAATTGCTGTGTATCTTTTGCCGTTCTCGATTGCCGTTTAAGACCTATTTTGTTTGCCAAACCTCTACTCACTGGCTACACGCTCAACTCACTGACTACACGCTCAACTCACTGACAACACGCTCAACTGACTCCGCTCTTCCTCTCTTTTTAACAAAATCAGGTTGTCTATATTTAAAAAACCAATTGCTTTTTTAAAATACAAGATATACATATATATATATATATATATATATATATATATATATATATATATATATATATATATATATATATATATATATATATATATATATATATATATATATATATATATATATATATATATATATAGGGGAGAGTCGGCTAGCCCCGGGCACTTTAGGAAAATATAGATTGAACACATGTGCTAACAGAACAAAAAGTGTCAAAAGACTTTTTTTAAAAGTTCAAACATTCATCTATCGAATTAGAAACAAAAAAAAACTATTGTGTCTTAATAATATACAAAACATAAAAGAAAAAATGTTAGAAAAAATGCTTGTTTTAAACTTGGAGGGTAGCCCCGGACACATAGTTTAAACATGATTTTACCACTTTTTTACTAGTGTAACACAAATGTTATATAAAATAGTTTAGCATTGAACTGTTCTCGACACATTTGAAAAAAAATCGTCTTTAAAAATTACCTCTGATATATTTTTTTATTTTTTTTATATTCTGATATATTTATTTATTTTTTGAAATTGAATTGAAAATATGATACTGATTTATAGTATCCAATCAAATATTCTTTGACCATTTATTTTCTAATAAATATCAAAAAATTAATTTTAAAAAGAAGTTTATTTAAGATCTTAAATAAAGCTTAGAGTACAAAAAATCTGAAAACTTATGACAGTCGTGGTTTCACAGTCGTGGTTTCACGACGTGAGACTAAGCTTATAAAAATAAAATACTAAAAGCTTTTCCGTTTTCAACGTTTTACTACTGGGTTTAAAGTATATTTTGAAAAAAATGTATTTAAAATATCTTTTTTTCTAAATTTTGTATTTTTATTTAGTTTTGAATCCTTGCTAGAAAAAAGTTTGTTTGCTCAAAGATATGTTTCTTTTCTAAACTATTTTGATTAATTTAGGCTGCATACGCTAGTACATTATGGAAATCAACGTAAGACACTTTCTTCATCTTTTAACTAAAAAACGTTTTAAAACTTTACAAGTTTATTTTCAAGTTGATTTTAAATTTTGACATTCATCATAATAAATAATTTTATTAAATGTTATCATTTTAAAACAATGTCATTTGAGTTGTAAAGTTGTCAAAAGCAATTCATAGAAATAAATTATTTTTTACCCTGTTAAAAATGATTTGGAACTCTGCAATTATGATATATATGTATATATATATATATATATATATATATATATATATATATATATATATATATATATATATATATATATATATATATATATATATATATATATATATATATATATATATATATATATATATATATATATATATATAAGCGCCGGAATATAAAATCTTCCAGTCACAAATTATAATATTGTCTCCAATTAATATATATTGTCACCTAAATGTTTTGACTTATTTTAAATTTAATATTATCGCCTAATTAGATTGTCAATAACTAAAATAAATATCTTTTCCCCAAGGACAACTTATTTTCATTTAAAACATCGTTTTCTTGCATTTTATGTGCCGTTTACGTAAAAATATTATCACCTTTAAAACTTTTCTTATTGTTTTTTATTATAATGCCTTTTTGCACAAAGAATAATTAATTTTATACAGTGCACAAAACCGTTTATAGAGAGAGGATTATAGTTAGGAATTTAAAGAATGGAAAAGTTTTTAAAAACTTTTTTAATACGTGTTTATATTTTTTGTTTATATATAGTAGTTGAACAAAAATGTTTCTAAAGTGGTATGATAAAATAAAATGTAAGTGAGAATGATTGCATTTTCGGTATATTTAGAGATTTGGTTCATAAGGCATTCAATTTACAGTAATTGGTTTTTGAAGTAAAAAGTATTTGCTTATAAATACTCCGTTTTTCATAATCAAAATGGCATAAACTCTGGTTGCTTTATTTAGGTATTCTACGGATTTATGTAAGACTTAACTTTTGTGAATGGCAGATATAATGAATCCGTTTATCTGGTTTTTAACATTGTACAACATTTTTTAATAGTCTTTTTGTTGTTCAATCACATGTTTACATAATTTTATTGCTATAGCAACGAATTTTTATAGCTATCTAATGTTTTATCTAAATTATTTTGTTAAATTAACTTACTACTGTAGGAATATAATTAACCTGTAACCTAGTTTTAACTTTGATGTTTCAACTACTTTGTCGTTACACTAAAAAAGTTGCTGCAGTAACAACATGTTGAAACAGCAATAAATTACAGTTTTTAATACTAATGTCAATAAATTAAAATTTAAATATTTTAAAGTTTGTTTTTACAATTTTGAAGTGGCGTAGCTACAGAAAACAATTAAAGTTGGCTACGTTTTATAAGAGTGCAATCAAAAAACGCTTTTTTGATAAAATATATTTATAATCAGTTCAGCATCATCTCTTATTACACAACTTAGTTTCGAAGACTTTTACCCAATAAAGACGATTTTCAAGTTACAGTTGGTTATGATAACCACTATCTTTTTTTCATAGTTTGCCTTTTTTTTTAAATTCACCCAAATATAAAGTTATGATTATCTGTAACTTATTATAAATTACATCATATTAAGGTTTTCATTTTGAGTTTGCTTGACACAAGATTTTCATTTTATGTTTTTTGAACCTGATTTCTTTAATAAATATCCGTTTTTTAATTATTTTTTTATTTTCATTTTATCATTGAAAATCTCAATATTAACAAAATGTATTTTTACAAATATTTAAAAACACATTAAATTTAAACACTTTATCCAGTTTTTATTAAAAAACTTTTAAACTATTCTTTCACCTTCCTATTATCTCTCCTTCGTCTATTATTTTTTCTTCCCTCCAATCTCTCCTTCGTCTATTATTTTTCATAATTTGTCTTGTTAAATGGAACCTATTTTTCTTATCTTTTTTCATTTTTTTACTTTACTTTTGAGATGAAAAGACTAACAAAAATATCTTAAATTTGAGCGTCAAAAACATAAACATCAAAATGCGTTTCAGCGCATTAATAATTTTAATGTCAGTTAAAAAAGCTAAACTAGAAAAAAAAAGTTTGAAAATTTGAAATTTTTTATCTCTAGATTTTGTATTTATGTTTAGTTTTAAAAAAATTTAAATTTTAGATTGGAAATGAAAAAGCAATACAACACTTTAAATGTCATGATATTTAAGATCATATTAGTTATTGGTATTGGCATAGTAACCTGTTTCGAACAAAGTTTAGTCAATTCTTCGTCAAAAGGTACAAATATTTTTCATTTCTATTGTTTTAACCAATACTGAAAATTTTTAATTGTAATTTTAACTATCGGCAAATATATATCAAAAGAAAAAAAAAAAAGGAAAACTATTACCCGCTTACTTAGCACAAGCCATTTAACAACAAAAAATTAATATCAAAATTTAAAATCTACTTGAAAATAAACTTGTAAAGTTTAAAAACGTTTTTTAGTAAAAAGATGAAGAAAGCGTCTTACGTTGATTTCCATAATGTACTAGCGTATGCAGTCTAAATTAATAAAAAAAGTTTAGAAAAGAAACACATCTTTGAGCCGCTCATGGTTGCGGTATTGCAAAATTAAAAATTCTCAGATTTGCTGTCAAACATTTAAAGCTAATTTAGCCTAAACTTTTTTTGACCAAAACTTCGTATCAAAAAAATAAATTAATTGCAATTATCACTCAAGAAATAACACAATAAAAGTCACCTCCCCCCTTTGTTTTGAATGACCTTCAATTGAATAAGGGCCGTCCCAAAGAGGGAAGGGGGTGTTTTTGCAGACTAACGACAGAAAAAAAAAAGATCCTCGGTTTTTGACACTCCTACACTGTCTTCCTTTAGGACGACCCTGAATGGAATCGTAAACACCATTTTTTTTCTAAACCATTAATAAAATGAAAAAAAGCCTTAATAATAAAACACATTTAATAATTACTGGTGCTTCAACTTTACAACGTCAAAGAACAAAAAAAGATAGGGTAAATATCTCATAACCGAAACCGGAATAGATGACAAATTTGGAAGCATTTTTAGAAATCAACGTATCTGTCACCCTTTGTTTAACTTAACGGATCTTTAAATAATATTCTTGGTCCAATTATTAACAAATTGGTCGGTCGTATTGGTAACACTATTGTTGGTCTACTTTTACGAAAAAGACAACAAGGTCACGGCACTCTATACCAAGGTCTCCACTGCACTAATCCATCTTTTTTTATTATTATTATTTATTTTTTACAGTAATCAGTACAACTTCCACATATAAAGTTTAGAATTGATAAGACGAAGCACTCCAGGCTTTCCTATGCTGACGATGGATATTGCTGTAGCCGAAGCAGCATCTTAAACGTGTTTTTTTATAAGGTGCACTGAGGGTGCATCAACTACATCCTGAGCTAATTTGTTCCATTGGTTAGTAACACGGTTTGTAAAAAAGTGCTGACATTCTGAATAACTTTTAATTAGTTGTGGGTTTAAATACCGGCTGTTTCTTCTGTGAATTTGAAATTTTGAATTTGAAAATTTGAATTTGAAAAATGTGAATTTAATAAGAAAGGCTGTACTTGTGGTATGTAAAATTTAATTTCTTGTAACTGATGAGCGATTTTGTATTGCAGTATAAAGTCACTGCGAATTCTGCGTTCTTCCAGCGTGGTAAGACCTAGTATTAGTAATATTTTTTTGTAATTAAAATGTTTAATCGACGATATAGTCTTTGTTATACGTTTTTGCACACGTTCGAGAAGGACAATTTCCAATTTAAGATGTAGAGACCAGGCTTGTACACAAAGCTCTAGATGCGGTCGAACGTATAGCTGGTACAATTTTTTTCAAAGCTAGAGACTACGGCATCGAAATGTTTTTTTGAAGCGAACAAGCATTCGATTTCCAGCCGATGCTGCTGCTTCTTGTGTTTTCACTTTGAAGTTGTCGGATATTAGTACCCCAAGGTCGAGCTCAATGCATGTTGGAGATTATGTCGGTTACCATTGATGTCAGCCATGGTATAGATATGTGTTGATTTATTTTTGCGGCAACCAATGTGCATTACTTTGCACTTCTCCATGTTGAAGTGATCAGTGATCCAGTTATGTGATCAACTTACAGCACTGTCAATGTCCGTTTGCAATGTTTCATAATCAGAGGATGATTGATTATTATTTATAATTTCTATGATCTTGCTATCATAGGCGTATAATAAGTTTGATTATAAGGTATCAAACCTTATAATCAAACTCTTTATTTGTCAATCTTCATTTAATTATGAATCTTTTTAAAACTTCTTGAGCTATTCAACAGCTATAAAACTACTAAAGAACATCAAATAGTCTTTACATTCTTAAAGCATACATCAATACAATAGAACCCTCACTTACTTTGCCTTCCGAACGTTTGTGATTTTTGTGAAAATGGACTCTCCTCATTTATGCAATTATATTCTAATTTTTTAAGCCAAATTGTCTCATAAAAACGGAAACTTTTTAAGTTTTTATAATCATTTAGTTTGTTGATACCTAATTCAGACGGGTTAAACATCAAATAGTTAAAAATATCTGGATACAAAATCATTGACTAATATTTAATACCATCTTCTTCAGATAACCAACCATCTATTAAGATAAACAGATCACTCATTTTAATATGTCAATTAAAAGTTTTTTTGATATTCGTCTTTGAGTTCTTCGACTGCCTCTATCGCAGTTAGTTTAGGCTAAATAAAACTTTCCATTGCAGAAAATACACGAGCAACCAATTCCCAGAAACACGCAAATTTATAAGTCTTAAATATTGCTTCAGTTGACATTTGACAACAATTGGCAGAATCAACAAAAATCAACAACAATTGACTGGATCTTCACTTGTTTTGCCTTCCCAAGCTTCACTTAATTTTTCAAATATCAATGGAATAATATTTTTTTTAAATGTCTCGTAACAAATTTTAAATTACATAATTTGTTACGAGACTTATATTCCATTACAAAAGTAATGGAGTAAAATGTCTCGTAACAAATTTTGTAATTTTAAATTACAAAATCATTTACGAGACAGATTTTATTCCATTACAAAAGTAATGGAATAAAATCTATAATTAAGGTCAATCTTAAAACTGTTTTTTTCAAACAATTTTAAGATTGACCTTAATTACAGATTTTATTCCTTCACTTTTGTATAATAAAATAATGGAAAAAGTGTTTAAAGACATTTATTATCTAATAGTAGCATACTCATGTGTTTTCCAGTCTTCGAAAATTTCAGTTTTCTTTCGTTTATAAGCGAATATATAGGAACTTCCTAGTAAATGCTCTTCTGTGGTGCTCTGTGACTTTAAGGACACACTTTTGTGGTACTCTGTGACTTTAAGGACACACTTCTGGGTGCAAATTAATAATCATAAAAAAAATAAAAATCTGTCGTTAAAAGAAATGACTACTATAAAAATTTGGACTGGCCTCAAACCACCTGAGTATGACCAATGTCATTCTCCTTTTTATACATATTTAACTTTTAACTTATTATATAAACTTGGTTCAATAAAATATTTTTAAAATAGTTATTCAAACTAACCAGATAACAAATAAAAACAAATTATTTTTATTTTGCTTGGTAAAATACTTTCCAACTTGATAAACTACAAATAATCTTAAGTTTCTTGAAAATTTTCATAAATAACGAGAGATACAACAAAAAAGTTTGAGTTTTTCTACGCCGAGTGGCCTAAAGATTTGTACGCAATTCAGATTTTGATAAAACTTTGGCAATAAGTTGTCTAATATATGAAAAATTCTTTAGTTTCAAATCAAAATGTAAATTATATCGGATTTTATAGGACACTTTGTAAACAAAGGACGTAAATTACTATAATTATAAAAAATTTTATATCACAATGACATTCAGTCTATAATTTTCCAACTGGCCACATAAATTTATCAATGAAAAACCTTTTTGTGTTTTTTTTTTTGTTTTATCTAAATATTCTCCTTTACAAATTTAGCGATATGGTGCAAAAATCAATCTATTTATGAACACCCATATCAATGCTAAGTTATAAACACCCATATCAATGCTTTGAAATAAGTATAACACCAAAAATAAAATAGTAAATAATGATACATACGTTAATTTATGTATTTTTCTTTTGTTGCATTATTGCATTACTTTGCACTTTCAGAAACAATAAAATTTATTTTAAAGAAATCTTTCTTTTAAATGAAAGATATCTTGTTCACATAGGTCTTTTAAATGAAAGATATCTTGTTTACATAGGTCTTTTAATACAGAAATATATCTTGTTTACATAGGTCTTTTAATAGAGAAAGATATCTTGTTTACATAAGTCTTTTAATAGAAAAAGATATCTTATTTACATAGGTCTTTTAAATGAAAGATATCTTGTTTACATAGATCTTTTAAATAAAAGATATCTTGTTTACATAGGTCTTTTAAATGAAAGATATCTTGTTAACATAGGTCTTTTAAAAAAAGATATCTTGTTTACATAGGTCTTTTAACTTTTTCTATTTAGTCCTAAACTTTACGATTCATCATATTGCATCAAAAAAATATTTTTATCTAAAAACATTTTCACATAAAAATTTATTTTTAATATTTGCTTTATTTGTTTTACAAAGATTTGCACAAAAAGCAAGTAGCATTCCTAAAGCGATCAAATGATTTTTATAAAAAGTAAAGAAAAAGGTCTGTCAAGTTTTTTTTTTTTGAAGTTGTTAACATTCAATTCCTGTATACTTGTATTAATATTATTGAGATTAGGAGGTTGTGTACACAAATCGACTGCCGTACAGTTACATAAAAAAATTTGCTAGTTACGCATTTAATAATTCCTCGTGCCTAAATGCGATGAGAAAAAACTCGAAGACAGCCGGCTGATTCAGTTAGCGCAAGTGCAGGAATTCGTAATAATAAATTCTGCATTATTGAATAAGATCTCTTCGGCGCTGTCGATTTGCGAGTAATAAGGTATCGATAGCCGAGCAGCGATTCATACTTTTTTTGTGGTTATTAGGGTGGTCCAAGGAGTTTTAACGGTCTTATCATAGAGCACCGCAGAAGGGACAGATTTTGTGCCTTGATTTTGAAATGCTTTACAAGTGATATGTTTTCTAATGTCAAAGATCCCAAAGCTGCTGAGCAATAATCCAAATGAGGACTTACGAAAGAGCACTAAAGAATGCAAACGTTTGAAACATCAAAGGTTTAAATATTAGTTTTAGAATACCAAGAAGATGAAACCAGTTTAAAATAGTTTTCTCTACTTGATCATTTCACAAAAAAAGGTTGTGAACAACAAAACCAAGATTATGCTTAGAATCAGACTCTATAAATATTAATAAAGCCTCTTTTGTGAGTAATGGTAAAACAAATGTAAGAACCTTTAAATTTATCATTAACTAAAGTTTTTTTGCGTTGTGTACAAAAATACTTTTTAAAAAACATGCACTTGCATTGGCATCAATTAAAATCATCTGATTTTAGTTGAATACACGATTGATGTTGATTTATAATCTTTGAAGGTAAGAAGACTCCTTAAAGATTGAGATAATGGTGTATTTCAAATTTTCAAAAACACCTCTTTTCGATTGGAAAGAAATGCATTTATCCATTAGCAGATGTACTCCATAAGCATAAACTTTTTAAAGAAATTGTCCGACTTTATCTGACACTTTGGCAAAGTCAAACAAAACCACAAAAACGTTAAAATGAAATTCCATAGTGTAATTAATTAAATCAAACGATTCGAATCAAATTTTTAAACAAAGTTTACCAGGGTTTAAGTCATACTGGTTTGCATAATGAAGGTTCCTGAAAAGTCTTTAAACATTGAAACATAAAAATATCTACAAGTAGTAAAAAGTATTGCGACAGTATTATACAGTACTGCACAGTATTGCGCCAGTACTGTCTAATACTGGCGCTAGACTGGCAGCCAGTACTGGTTCTGCATTGGGGTTTATTTGGGATGATAATACTTTGCTAGTACTGAATGTCAAGTACTTAACCATTGGTGGCATCTGGTAATATGGCATAGTATCGCTACTGGCAGCCAGTACTGGTTTTGTAACGGTAATTGACTGGAAAAATAATGTTTTCCCAATCCTTAATATATATATATATATATATATATATATATATATATATATATATATATATATATATATTTATATATATATATATATATATATATATATAAAATTGATATTACTGTATCATTTTACATATTAACTATATTAGTTATACTTTTTATTCCTTTAATTTTCAATTGTTGTTTGTACAATTAAAAAAAAAAATCGTTCTGTAATTTTCTCTTTTAATAATCTATTTTTCTTTCCACCGTCTCTATCCTTCTCACTTGAAAACCAGCAACATATTTGACTATGTACGTACGCAGGTATATGGGGAGAGGAGTTACTCAATCAAATACGAACATGATAAAGACAGAAAGAGAGAGAAAGAGGGGGGGGGGGATAAAAGAACCAGTACATTTGCTGTTTGACTATCTCTTGTTTTGTATCCGTCAATTAAACTTCTTTTAAATTTTTTTTAATAATAAGTATAAAGTATACTAAAATATACGTATTATTTATGTATATAAACTTACATCTAAACAAATAACAGTCGTACTTTATTTACTTTTTTATGTTAAATACTTAAATATAATTCCAATATAAAATAAAACTGGATAGTCAACTTACTTAAATCAGTACCAGTTTAAGTGTCTAAAAATATTTATTCTTATTAACTCTTCTAATAGCTCTTTCTAATAGCTCTGAAATATATATATATATATATATATATATATATATATATATATATATATATATATATATATATATATATATATATATATATATATATATATATATATATATATATATATATATATATACATATTGCTTGTATATTATGATAACTTAACTTTACTATTACTAATATTAATTAATGAAAAGTGATAATAGAAAATTTTGTTTTTTATTTTATAAAATTTTACACAAGATACGTACCTATAATTGTACTGGTTTTGACTGACAACCTACACCATTTTTTAATGAATAAAAGTTGTTAATGAGAAATAGCTGCAGACCTTAATCATGAATGCAAGTGAATCATACTGTTTTATGATAAAGATAGTTAAATATCGTAAAAGACTAGAACATTATTATTCTGACACATTTTTCTTTTTTCGAGGCCCAACATTCAGTATTGCGCCAACACTGGACTAATGGATTACTTCCCGTACTAGTTTTTAGCACTGACGCAGTATTGTCTAACATTTTAATCAGTACTTTGCCTGCGCAGGCTAGCCAACTATTGGACAGTCAAAACTGGCGCAGTACTTCGCTTGTTAAAAGTAAATTTTCAAAATACAAAAATATCCGAATGGGATGTTATCAAGAAAATGACGAATACCGTCTTTTAGAGAAGATGTAAAAATTGGAAAGTTTTATGGTTTTAAAAACGTTTTTATTGAAGACAATAAATATTATCAACATATATGAAAATTTACAAGAATTTGGGTTTCAAAAGGTTTTGTTTCTCATTTTCTCTTGCTATCCAGTGGTCAGTGGTTATAATAACCTGATAAGGATCTATATGCTCTTTTTTAAATTAAGAGCTTTTTGATCTTTTTTTAATTACTATATACTATAGAGAGTTATCAATGAAATTTTTTAAAACTTCATGCATAACTCCCTTTAGTGTATGATAAAGTTGAGTGAGTTTATTTTTTAAGATACTCAGTGAATTTTATATTGTGGTATGCGGTAATATTCTGTTTATTAATTTTTTGAAATTTTCAGAATCAACAAAGCTGAACTGCACTAATTAGCAATCAAAGCAACGATCTCATTATTAACTACTAATTGAAGCTGATCTTGAAGTGGCCACTTTTTTGTAACCGCCTTCTTCGGACGAGTGAGAGGTATAAAGGTTACATCTCTTGGGGATCCAGAAGTTTGATTAGGTTTAGTTCTTCCTCTACTTGTGATATTTGCTCGCCTTCTTTCTTTTGAAATTTGAGGAATAGCTTCTCTGTTGTGCTTGAATATGCTTTCGCAAACCATTAGTATTTGATTGCTTTGTGACAAGCTTAAACCAGTAGTATTTGATTTTTATTTTATTTCAAAAAAAAAAACTTGTTTCCACTGGTTTTACACAGAGCAGATATTATACATTTTCAGACTCCTGAAAATATACAATATAGTTTAATAATAATAATAAATAGAAATTTTTTACTTTTTAATAAAAGCAATCAAAAGCAAAGCCGCTCCAAACTCACTTGGGGCCTGGCAAAATCAAATTTTTGAGGCACTTACATCTACAAAATATTAAATTAAATAATTTCCGAAATATTATTACCAAAAAAAGACAATTTTTGCTCTAGCCCTAAGATCGCAGAACTAGTAGATAGAAAAAGTACATTTTATTTTATTATTATTTATTATATTATGTTACATTTAAATAAAAGTATTAAATTTAAGTAAAATCTCCTATTTTAGTATTTCTTTAACCAAAGTAGTCAATAACAACTTTATAATTTTTAGTTTTTATTATGTTCAATTAATAATTAAATAATGAAGGTGTCTCTGTTCTGTTGCCGAACGTAAATAGCTCTTTATTTTTTTTAATTTGCTGAAAAGTTATTCTCCTGTTGCCATTGAGTGTTAGATAGTATTTGAAGATAAACACAAGGATTTCGAAGCTCTTTCATTTACGTATATAAATTTAAACAGTTAATGTATAGCTTTTTAAACTGTTGGCTAGTGTAATTAAACATTTCAAATAATTAGATTGCTTTTGGTTTTTGCTTTTAGTTTTTGACATTAGTATGAAACAAGGCGTGAATTTCATTGTTAAATGCTTTTCCGCGGTGCTTTGTGATAGGACCGTAAGGATCTCTGGGATAGCCATTCTATAAGACTTTTTTTAGTCAACATTTTTATATATGATTAACATGGTTGAATAGAGATGAAAAAAGTTTAAAAAATAAGGGATCTTTCAATTTTAAAGTTAAGTGGATACGAAGATATTGTATTTTTTGTGCTGGAAAAACTGAGTATTTATTCACAAAACGCCTTGTACTTGAGTAAGGAAAATCGGCTGTGTAATGGTACCGAAAAAAATAAAGAAAACATCAAAAATTTAGCGTAAAAATTAAAACAAACGATACGCAATTAAATATTGAACAAAATCAGCGTAAAAAGTAGCCGAGCAAAAAAACAATCTTCAAAAAATAAATGAAATTTTTCAACAAAAAGTTTCTTTTCTTTAATATATTAATGAGAAAAATTTAATAGTATTTAATGCTAGAGGTATTTTAGTATTTTTATCAGTAGTACTATTGCAAATGTTATTATCAGGGCCGACAATACCGGGGGGACCAGAGAATACGTGCCCGCTCCCCACACCCACACCCACTTTTTTTTCGGAAGGACCATTTTTTTTTTTTAAGAAAGATTTTGATATAGAGGGCTTTTTTCACAAATTGATGGTTGTGCCCCCCCCCCCCCCCTAATTCAAAACCCTTGTCGTCGGCCATGATTATCACAATTTTGATATATGTAAAAGATTATATAATAGAAATACTCAATTGCAGTGTTGCAACTATGCATTACCATTGTAATGTAATTATAAAAAGAAGTACTAATTGAACATGTCATGTTTTTGTTTATGTAAATAATTTCCTTAGGTTAACGCATTTTTTTCTATTTTAGTTTAAAAAAACAAAAAGCTGAAAAAATAGCTCCATAGTTTTGTTGTATATTTTCTGGCAATCATATACCAAATCTATCTGTTGAATTGATCAACAGATAGATTATCGGCTTAATTTATAGCTGATATTGTTCAATATTAAATTAAAGACGTGTAAATGGCGTCTTTTTAACGTTCTGTGCCCATTGAGAACATTTAATTATAAAATATCATAATTTAATTTAAAAGTACTTTTTTTATTTGCTTTTATTAAACAAAACTTGCCTATTGAGCTTAGGGTATTATCATTAAAGTATTTAAATTTATTCTTAGTATTATTAGCAAGCACGACTGATGCGTCAAACAACTTCAGCCCAAATGACTTCAAGGTAAAAAAAGATTTTATATATTTTGTATTATATGCATGTATATATATATATATATATATATATATATATATATATATATATATATATATATATATATATATATATATTAAAAGTTATATATATATATATTAATATATATATATATATATATTAAATATATATATTAAAAGTTAATAATATTGTTCGTTTTTTTCTCAGTTTCCTTTTCTTTTTTTAAAAATATGTCACCTTTATTTACATTTACTGATGTAAAAATGTATTCAATTAATACATATTTGTATATATGTATATATATATATATATATATATATATATATATATATATATATATATACAAATATGTACAAATTGAATACATTTTTACATCAGTAAATGTAACTAAAGGTAACATATTTTTAAAAAAAGAAAAGGAAACTGAGAAAAAAACGAACAATATTATTAACTTTTAACAAATTGAATATTCCATTGGAAACGTGTCGTTTGTATATCTTTTTATTACAAAATTATTCAATGATAATATTTGTTTAACGGCATAAACTGCTCAAGTCACCAGTTAAATCAAAACACAAATGTAATAGTACTTATAATATACTTTATTGATTATAGTAAAAAGATAATAATGTAAAATATTAATTGTAATAATAATTATTATACATAACAGTAAATAGTAACTAGTTATTTATACTTTGCTACTTTTGACACTATTTATAAAAGCTTATCTCAAACATAGTGTTTATAAATAGCTGCAAGGTTTCTTGTTGTAAAATTTAATCAATTTGTTTTGTAGTATTCTTAATGTAATTCAATTTTCGAAAGCATTGGATCATTTTAACAATAAAAATTTTTATAACAGTACTTATTTTCCCTCGTTTTATAACAACACTCATTTTTATTAATTTTATCTTTTTTAAAACAAAGATATTTTTAATACTTGCAATATCTTTGAAGTTTAACTTTGTTGTTTCAAACTATTAGATTTTGGTAGAAGAACAGCAGTTTAAGAGAAACTGTTATTTGTTTCAGTATGTATACTCAAAAACCTTAAATAAAAGTACTGATAAATTGTTTACCCTTACTTTCTAAATGTGTATTTCAAAGTTTTTCAGCGCAAATGTAGTAAATGACACTTTACACGATATCTCGAACCCCTAATAAGACGAACTTTTTTTACTTTAGTTATTTAGATGCTCCTAGACGTCCTGACGGTCTTATATCAAAGAACGGCGGAATAGCACTTAATAAGGAAGTTTAAAACGCCTCCTTCCTTAACAATATTGTATATGGCCAGAGCCGGCTTCGAATCAAAGACCTCTAATTCTAAAACAAGAACTCTAACTACATCATGGCTGCTAATTTCCATTAACTCAAAGTACTTTTGAGTTACCTTTTAACCCTCACAAATACTTTCTAAATAAAGTCACTCAATAACTCAAACATTCGTTAAATCGAACAATTTTATCTTTTTCCTAATACACAAAAAATAATAAAAAAATAAGTTTAAACTTTAAAATGAAAACAAAAATTAAATCTTAGTAGAAATTTTTTCTTTCAAAAAGTTAAACTTATATACATTTGATTTTGACTTTCGATATTAGAATGGTGATTACGTCACATCGTTATTTCGGACATCGTAATTTTTTCTTTCAAAAAGTTCAACTTTTAGACATTTGATTTTGACTTTTGATATTAGAATGGTGATTACATCACGTCGTTATTTTGGACACCGTATTTTTCTTATTTTAAGACATAGTAGTTTTATTATTTGTCTGTTTTTTTAACAGTTTTTTATATTACTTGAGTAAAGAGGTTGTATATATATAACCCCTAAAGTTTCTTTCAAGGCGGTCTCTGGTGAGGGTAACTCTTGTCCGGCGAAAATGACCACATCATGGAAAGAATAACTCTCTCTCTCTCTCTCATTATTTTAGTTAATTTTAATCATTTTAACATTAGGAAATAAGCTAAAGACAGTTAAAACGCGGTTAGGCATCTAATTAAAATATTGTACTGTAAAATATTATAAATTAAATAATGACGCTATATATCAAGTTGTTTTTAATAAAGTAAAACTTCTGTGTGTAACATATACGATCTAGTTTAGCAAGAGTTTCTTATTAAAAACATCAATAACTATAAATTTGAATTTAAAATCAATTATTCTAATAACTTTTAATAATATAGAAATGGTCAAAGCTGTTTTTTAAATCTTTAAAAAACATTGAGAAATAAAATATGTGATAGTGATTGCAATGCAATCACAATCATAGTTTGCAATTAAAATGCGAATTTGAAACATGTTGAAAAAATGCATCATACGTCTAACTTTGATGGCCGCTGCAAATCCAGCGGGTGATAAAGTTTTAATACTTGTAATAGGTAAATCGAAACTAGCTCACAACGTCAAATAAGTTAATAGCTTACCATACAGATACAGAAACCATAATAATAAAAAGGATTAATAGCGTATTGTTCAAAGAGCGGTTACGAGAAATGGATACAAAGTTTACAAAAGAAAAGAAGTAAGTAGCGTTTATAATAGATAACTGTCCGTTACATTTGACGATTGATCTAAAATCTCTTCAGCTGATTTTTTCATCGAATTCTAAACTTCAACCAATAGATAAAGGAGTTACCATCTTCAACCAATGAATAAAGGAGCTACCAACTTCAACCAATGGATAAAGAAGTTAAGCGTATTTGAAAGTTTATTACAGATCTTTTGCATAGTAAAGACTAATTGTAACTATTGATAAAAGAAAAAATTTTCCTGTTTTTTCGATTTTTGATGTAACGAAAATGTTTGATCTTGCATTGCAAATAGTGAAAACCTCCTCTATTAACTGTTTTGAAAGGCAAATATTTCAGAAGATCAGCAGAAACCCTTTCGGATGAAAACTACTTTTTTAAAATGCTTCAAAACCAGATAGAAAACGTGATAACTTTAATATTCTAGACACAATAGCTGGAGATGTTATTTATGCAGATGAAAACTTAATGAGCATTGTAGTTTTAGACGAGAAAGATGATAATGATAATGTTGTGAGAAACTGAGATAGAGTGATATTTAAAAACATTTTTAAATTTATGATGTACTGTTTTTACCCTAAAGATCAACCCTTTTGCTAACTTGAATTATTTTTACTGATCAGCAAAAGTTAGGGTAGCAGAGTGCCCCCTAAACTCAAACATTCTTGGTCTTTTGGAGGTTTAAGATATCAGGAGAAAAAAAAAGAAACAAAAAATAAAATAAAATAAAAAGTTTACCGTAAATATCGCAAAAATATTACAAAAAACACGTTACCGCAAAAATGCCTTAATACTTAGAGATTAATCTAAGAAATCCTATAACTTTAAGACTTATTTCTAAAGTTATTCTTTGTTATAACTTAAAGTTATAACTTTGTTGAAACCTCGTTACTCTTACTTTGTCCCAACGTTGCCTTAAAATTGCTTCAATTTTTTTCTATCTGACTTGAAAAAAGCATGTGAAAATCCTTGAAGAAAAAAAAAAGTATATATCGGTTATTAAAACTTATTAATACTAACTATTATTTAATTAAGAAATCTCTAACAATAAAAAGTTTTTATTTATATTTTGTTTATTATAATTCTTATTATTCTAATATATTCAAATTTATTTATAAAGAAAAATAAACAGAACAAAATATAGAGTATTATTATTTTTTTTTGTTTTTTTATAAATTTTTTTATTTCTTATTAAATTTCTTTTTTATTTACAAGTATTTATAGATAAATAGTAAAACAATTAGTAAAAGAATAATGATCAATGTATTAATTTCTAGGTAAATAAAGAAAAAAAAAATCACAGACTGTTGATCTATATAGGAGCAGGAACTGCTGCTTTCGTCTTTATATTATTTGTTGTGATTTTTATGATAACTCAAAGAAGAAAACTGAAGCAAATCAAAAGGTAAATTATGTTTGAAGAAAGATGATTAAATTTAATGACTTTCTGGTGACCCCATCTTTTCTGGGTTTTAAATCGATGAATATTTGTACAAAATGGAAATAACATTAATTCGATTTCCTTTTTAAAAAAGGTCACCAACAAGCTGAAAATTCAAATTTACCATATATGCGTATAGATAAATTTACTATATGTGTGTATGGAGTTATTTAACTTATTTTCGTAAAGCTTCACTTTAGAAAATACTCCAGATTCTTGAAAAAAGCGCAACAGCTGAGTTAAATGAAAAAGAAATTTCATATCATTACGTCGTCCTTTCAGTAATCAATTTTTTACCACTTTTTTGAAACTCTGCCTGAGCTATTCGTAAATCTTTACAAGTTCCAGGGTAAAATGTTGTTTCCTCCAATTTATTCATCCATTACACGCAAAAGACTCAGTCAAGAACATGATGTTGACAGCCAATAAATTGTGGTTCTTCCAATGCTTTTTCAGTAAAACTTCTTTATAACTGGCTAACAACTCCATTCTTTTTTCCAATGTTTACATTTGTAGAGTCTATTACAATCATCTTTATACTCTTCCATAAATTGTATTCATCGAGAACAACTGTTATACTTTTTACAACATCTGCTTTTCTGTCTGGTCTAGTGCTCGTAGCTAAACTTCTTTTTGTTTATTCTTAAACAATAACACTTGATTTTCTTGGTGACTAATACGTTTGCCATTAAAGTACAGTGACCATGGTCACTGCACCTTGATGGTAAACGTATTCATAAAAAAAAAGTTCTATAGATGGTTGATGGTAAACGTATTAAGAAAAAAAGTTCTATAGAAGTTCTATAAAAATTTCTATAGAGATTAACAAAAGTACTATAAAAATTCTATAGAATTTTATAGAATTTCTACAAAAAATAATTATGCTTCAGAAAATTATTATACTACTGCCTGCAAGTACAACTTATATACCATTTTAAAAATTTTGCGTTGTGGGCAACATTTTTTGAAGATTATTCTCAGAATAAAACCCATTTTCATTACTTTTGAGCAAAAGTTCATCGATATATGACACAGGAATTATTATTTTACAAAATGCTTAAAAGTCATAACTCTAATATTATATATTATATATATATATATATATATATATATATATATATATATATATATATATATATATATATATATATATATATATATATATATATATATATATATATATATATATATATATATATATATATATATATATATATATATATATATATATATATATATATATATATATATATATATATATATATATATATATATTAATTTAAACTGTTTATAAGTATTAATTGTTTTCAAAATATATTTTTAGGATACAGATAGCAGATAAGTTTTTGAGAAAAAATAAAGGTACTTACTTCGTGTTTTAATAATGCTTAGTTGTCAAGTTAAAAAAAAAACTTTTGGTTGATTTTATAGAATAAATAGAAGTTTAATGTTTGCTTGTTTGAGAAATAAAAATTAACGCAAAAGGTTAAAGTTTACCACCTAAATTTGAAATAAATAAAACTCAGTATAAAATTTAAAGGAAACAAAGCTCAGTAGTTTCTTTTTTTATTACATTTAATCGTTGTATAATAATAAGTAATCAACATATATTGAAATATATGTCATAAAGTAAAACCCTAATTAGCATAAAAGTGTGCGCTGTTAGGTGAGTTATTTCTTTTTAATTTCTTCTGGTGGCGAAAGTTCCGCCTCAAAATCATTTTCAATCCAAAACATATTTTGGCATCGGCCACCAGTGTTCTTAGTACACAATCGCACGTAGGTTTCTCCAAACTGAAAGTAACACATGATGTAATCGTACATTACATGGTAATCATATAATGCAAAAGCGAAGTTTGTGAAAGTCTTCGCCTACTGACCTAGCTGAATAGCATACAGTTTAAGTAACATCCATATACAAAACTTGATGATCTCGTCCATGTTTGCTTGTTAAGAAGCACGTAATTTGAATCACTTTCAACTCATTAAAAGCTTCTAATCCAAACCCATAGGTCTGACATATCATTCTAATTTTTCCACCTTTACGAAAGTTACGAAAGTGTTTTAAAATAAAGCATTTCTGGCATAATGATATGTTTGCCCAGGTTATTTTACTTACACAATATACAAATTAATTTAGAACAATCAATTAATAAATAATAATAAGTAAATTCTATGGCTTTATAAACTGTATGGTATTTTAGCTTGTATGGCTTCTATTTTTAAAAAAAACTTTATACTTAACAAAGAAAATTATAAATTATTGTTTGCCTTCACTTCTCAAGTTAATGATAAAGTAGAGTTTTTTTATAGTTGAAAAAAAGTTTTAACTTTGATAAAATAAATAACAGATAAAAAAAAGCATTTATAAAGTTAGTAAACGTGATAATATAGTCTACCTACCGCATGACTCTTGCTTTATTATTTATTATATTATAAGATTAGTTTGTCATCCTGTTCCGTTTGTCAACTTACTCCCCGCGCTAACATACATGTGTAATTTTTAGAAAATTGAATAGAAAATAATCTGACCGAAAATATATTTGTTTTATTTTTTTATCTATATATTATACGGATATAGAGGATCATACGAATCTATCGACACCTTACAATTATTTGAGATCTGTTATAATCTGATTTAAACTTACCAATTGTAAAATTATATTCAGACCCCTTTTTTTAATATATCTGATTAAGACTTAATCATTGAGTCACCCAGGATTATTTTGAACAACATTTTAGATAAGATCAAATAATTTATATATTTTCCAATTAATTAGAAGATTAATTCTAAGCTGTCCAAATCCATTTTCAGAATTGTGCAAATTATTTCGTTAAATGATTTCGTCTTTTTTGAAAGCATCATGTGAACAAGAGCAGTAAATCTCTCAAAACTTTAAAAAACATTTGTTTTAATTAAATCTAAACAAATGTTTTTTAAAATAACTTAAAAACATTGAAATTTGCAATAGAGTGCTCGAATATAGAAGAGCAAAGAGACATTTTTATACGAGTTTTTGAAGGAAGAACTGTTAAGTGAAATTTATTGGAAAGAACTTTTTTTTGTCTTGTAAATGTTATTACAATGAAAGTTAAATAAATTTAAATAATAATAAGAGTAGTTTAAAGTTAATCATCACATTAAAAGTAAACAACCACATTCCACTTTTAAAAATAAACTATCCAATGATAATAATTCTTAACGTCACGCAATGTATCGCTTTTTACAAGCTAGGTGGGCAAAAATATTTTGTTCTGCAATTTGACTTCTATGAATTTAATTAATGTATTTTTTTTTTGCTGTTTAACAAAAATAATTAACATACACATATGCATAAAAAAGAAAAAATATGTCTGTAAAAACAAAGAAGACAGTAAAATCTTGTCAACAAGTACCGTTTTTGTATATACAATATAAAGTATAAACTTTTCTTATTACAATGATCATTATAAATAAAGAATTAAACAGACAGGGGCTCAAAGAAGGTATAGATGACAATACGTCATCGCAATCTATTCATAGAGCCCCTATATATACTTTCATTAGAATATAGATATTATATTAATAGCTCTAATGGGCATCAAACTCCAGCGCTGATCAGTAAATCAAATAAAAATAAAAAAACTGAAAAAATAGAATCAAATAACTTCAGAGTTACTCAAGCACAAATGAATCTCAAACTTTACAATTTTTTTCTTTGATTTGAAACTTAAATGAACTTAATGACTTTGCCATACATTTAAATCCTTTTTGATAGATATTCCATAATTTGGACCTCGATATGCAATACTATATTCAGTATAATTATAAACGTTTTGAGGCAGTTTATATGTGTTACTTTTATTTTCTCTTAGATAATAGTTTTCATTTCTATTTATTATAAACTTGTTGTTAAGTTCTTCAGAAGAGAGATTATTGTTAAATCGATACATAAAAATTAAATGCTGATAGATATATATTTCGAAAATATCCATCATTTTCATATCATTTATTATAGGTTTAGCGTGTTCACGCTTATTTTTAGAGTAAACGATTCTGCACGTTTTTTCATGTTTTTGTAAGCTATAAATTTTTTTAAGTTTTGATGATTGAGCACTTGCCCATAATATATTTACACAACTGATGAAGCAATGAATTAATCTAAAATAGATTAATTTTAAACTTTTGTACTGATAGATCCGTGGGGAACTCCACATAAAACATTTAATACTCCAAATTGTATATTACATACATATTGTTTTCAATCGGTAAGATAATTTTTAATCCAATTCTAAGTTTTATTAATTATACCATAGTGCTTAAGTTTAATACGATGTTTAGCTAATCTTATAGGACTTTAATGTGTTTTTGAATTGTTACGAATTTTTAAAATTATTTTTACGTAATAAAAATAAATACTTTATTTCTACACATAAATTATAAAATAAAATTTTGCCAAAAGTAAAAATAAAAAAACACTATAAAAACATACTTAAAACACACAAAAAAAAATTAATAAATAAAATACGTTAACTTTAATTCAATTAAAATTGGGAAAAAAATTTAAAAAAAAAATTATCATCGGTTGAATCGTTGTTATTTTCACTATAACAAACGGGGGAGTGAAAGGTAAGGTTCAAACATATATTAGAGGTTGTCCAAAACTTTGATGCTTACACCTACAATAGAGATATTTTAAAAACAATTACTTAACCTAGATCGTAATTTTTTGTTGTGACTACCTCTTGGTAGTTTGAACAGTTGTTAAAAACTTATCCAGTCAACTTTTAAGATAGTAATCCGCTTCGATTTAATATAGTATGTGTGAAAATAGCAAGTGGCGTAACTCTAGGTTGAAAAAACTTGCAGCTGCGGAAAGAAGGAAACAGAAAAAACAATGATATAAAAGAACGATTTAAAAAAAAAATGAATGATTTAGAAAAAATGCTTTAAAAGAATGATTTAAAAAAAAAACTAAAAAAAAAAACAACGATTTAAAGCTTAAAAATTTATATTTATATTAAATAAAAATAAAGCAGAAACGTCAATAATCCATATTTTAGTTAAGAATCAATTAAAATAATTGCGTTGATAGATCTTAGATTAAGTAGAATATTATTATTAATTTTATAATTATTATCTTTAGATTAAAAGTAGAGAGCAAGATATATATTTTTTTTTCTAGCCTTCTATCTAGCGAGTAAATAAGCATATTTAAATTTAAATTGTAAAATGACGCGTCGTAATAAATTTTTTTTTTTAACTGTAACAGACAACGTCAAAAACACAATCAAAGTAGGTATCACCTCCAGATATCCAGTTAAAAAAGTGTATATAGAAAAAGCCTGCCAAATGCCTCACTGTTAAAATTTTTAACACGAAAATGTCAAGATTTTTAGGAAAAACTACTTTTGCAATTTCAATTTTATGGGTCAAGAACGCTTTAAACCGTGTTGAGCATCTAAGAAGGCTCTTAACTGTGTTGAGCATCAAAACATCAAGAGCATTAACAATAAATGTTGACCAGCAGTTTACATAAATAAAATGTTTGCGAAAGGAATTTTGATATAACATTTACTGCTCGGTAATGACTATGGCAGTAGTAAGTAAACACAGATGTGTTTATATAACATTGATAACACTAGGCAACAAAAAAATAATTTCGGTCTGCTACCTGAGAAAAAACCGGTCAGTCTGACTAATTCTGACATGCTGATTACAGTGGTTTAATCAGAATATTTGTATTACGTCAGGTTTTTGAGTTATATCAGTTTTACATTTTTGGTAATAAGGCATGATGTAGCTGCTTTTATATTACTTAATATTGTTGTACACTTGTTGTACTGTGTACTTTACTTTTAAATGTTATGTTTCTTTTATTTTAGACTGATCGTGTTGTATTTTTAAAAAAATATGAAGAAAGTTAAAAGGAGTTGCCTGAACCATCCAGACTATTTCTGTTACATCTATGGACATTTTACTCCCCGTGATCAGCGGAAACAACTTACAAGAAAAGTGAAGGTTGCCTATTATCACAATTTTGGCATCAAAGTATGTGATCAAGAGAGAACCTGGACGCCATATATTTGCTGCAGTGTTTGTTATGTGGGGCTCACCCAATGGCAAAAGGAAGTTAATGATATGGCGAGAGCCAAGAGATCATCAGATGGACTGCTACTTCTGCATGACAAATATTGCTGGATTCTCCAAGAAAAACAAATCAGCAACTCATTATCCAAATTATCACTCTGCTTTGAAACCTGTTCCACACGATGAACAAAATCCAGTTCCCAATCCTTCAGAATTCTTTGATAGCGAAAGCGACGACGATGATGAGGAAAGTCACACGGAGTAGGAGAATGATGCATATGAACCTATAGATAATGAGAAGATACCTCATCTTATTGGTCAAGCTGAACTGAATGATTTAGTGAGGGATCTAGGGTTAACGAAGAAGAAGGCAGAACTGCTTGGATCTCGTTTACAACAATGGAACTTGTTACATAGCGGAACAACAATTTCTTATTTTTGTGATAGGTATGTACAGCTTTCTAAATTTTATGACAAGAATGACAGTATCTGTTATTGTACTGATATTAACGGTTTAATGAAAGAACTGGACTGTGAGTATACTCCAAGAGACTGGCTTCTATTTATAGACTCAAGTAAAGTTAGTCTTAAAGCAGTTCTCCTACACAATGGGAATGTGATACCATCTGTTCCATTACTCGCATGCAGTCGGATTACATGAGACATATGATTTTATGAAGTTGCTTCTCAACGTTATCAAGTATAGAGATCATAACTGGTGCCTCTGTGGGGATCTAAAAGTAGTGTCCCTTCTTCTTGGATTGCAGCTGGTATACACAAAACACATGTACTTTCTATGTCTATGGAACAGCCGTGACGACGAAAATCATTACACAGTTAAAGACTGGCCAGCGAGAACTGATCATGTACCTTGCAGATACAATGTACGAAATGAGTCTCTTTTTGATCCTACTAAAATACAACGTTCCCCTTTTCCCATAAAGCTTAGACTGTTCAAAAATTTTTTGAAGGCTCTGGGCGAGGAATCAGGTGGCTTCGCTTATCTTCAAAAGAAGTTCAAGACCACTCTTACACCAGTAAAAATAAGTGCGGGTGTGTTCACCGGACCTCAAATTCGTGAAGTCATTCATGATCCCATCTTTAAGACACAGCTGCAGCCTGCTTAGTTGGCAGCCTAGGATGCATTTGTGGCTGGGGTTTCTAACTTTTTGGGAAACCACAGGTCTGAGAATTATGAAGAGTTGGTTGAAAGAGTACTAGCAAAATACAAGGATATGGTCATTAGAAATATAATTGACTTTATATTTCTAATGACCATTAAGTTTTAAAATGGTTAATCAATATTTCAATATAACTTTAAACATGATACACAATTTTCAATGACATATTTGGAATCAGCAGGTCAAAATGGTCATAGTACACTTAATAGATCTCAGGTAGCAAAAATTTTGTTCCCTAGTGTCATTCATAATTTACAATATCACAAATTCTCAAGTACAATTTCACTAAAATAATCAATTTCAGTTTAATATAAATTTTTGTTTTAGGGCAACATTACAAAATATTTATAAGTACAATATTCTGAGATAAATAACTTAACCCTGATAAATTTCCTGATGATTTAAAAATATTTTCTACCAAAATTTTGTGTGGTTGTAGAGAGAGAAAGAGAGAGACAGAGAGAGAATCCAATCCCATTATCTAATTCTTTGAATGGGATTGGAGGTATTGATTGGTGACATAATTTATATATGCTATGTAATGTGCGGTATGGGGTTTTGTGATAAGACAACTCCCGTCTTTTTTATTTGTGCATTTTGTTATTATAAGTATTATTAAATTTTTTTACTATACAAATTATATTTTTGTTTCAGGATATGTCTACAAAGAACCTTTATTTCCTGGTGAAGACAATAAAGAACTGAATAATAAAAACCTGCGTATGTTTTAATAAATATTATTGTTATATAACTATATATATATATATATATATATATATATATATATATATATATATATATATATATATATATATATATATATATATATATATATATATATATATATATATATATATATATATATATATATATATATATATATATATATATATATATATATATACTTATATATATGTATATATAGATATATATATTAAGTATATATTTTAATATATGTGATTATTTAAATATGTGTGTGTGTCTATATATATATATATATATATATATATATATATATATATATATATATATATATATATATATATATATATATATATATATATATATATATATAGACACACACACGCACATATATATACATAAACATATATTTATAAGTTAAGGTGCTCCAAAAAAAACTAACGGTTTTATCACAAAGTACCGCGGAGGAGCATTCATCCAGGAAATTCATGCCTTCTTCCTTATATATTCAATATAATTTTATATACATATTAATGTATGTATTAGTTATATAATTATATATTGTTACATATGTAATAATTTTATAATAAATTTGACTACAAATTTTCATTTAGAAAGGGTGTCAACGTTACCTAACTATTTAAGCGGAAGTTATGAGGTAATTTTTTTTTCTAGTTATTAAGGTGCTCCATGAAGACTTAACGTCTTTTTAGAGAGCTCTACGGAAGAGTATTTAATCTTTCATTCCATTTTATTGCTCTGATTTAAAACTTAGTAAGTTTAATGCAGTTAGTTAATTTCTACAAAAAGTTGATTTAGAGACAGCAAGAAGGAAGCTACTTTTGTTCATTGGTTTTAAAAATAATTACAAAACTCTATCACTGTTTGAGAAAGAATTAAAAGCAATTAAAAAAAAACTAATCTAATTTAAAAAAAAAATGTTATTAAACGATTAGGCAACGAGGAAAATGAGTTAGAAACTTTAAACAAATCTGACAAGTTTTAATTGAATTTTTTTGTCAGTCACAAACTTGTGACGCAACTTTAATAAGTGATGGTTACAATAACATAAAGAAGAACTAAATGCAAGTTACAAGAAAATGCAAGTTAGGGCAAATGGAATAGTAAATAGCGAAGGGTTTGCCTACTAGAATATATTTGTCCGTATATTCATTCTGTAATCACTTTACGCTACATAAAATAATTCTACTTATAGCCAAGCAAACGCTACATTTCTGTTCTTAAAGAATTTACAAGACGTTTCATTTTTGAAGTAGAAAAATACTTACCATTATAAAGTATAAAATCAACCTCAAGCTGTTTTTTATCAAAAAAAATGACAATAAACTGCTAACAAAAGATTGGTCTGAAGATGACAATAAACTGCTAACAAAAGATTGGTCTGAAGATGACAATAAACTGCTAACAAAAGATTGGTCTGAAGATGACAATAAACTGCTAACAAAAGATTGGTCTGAAGATGACAATAAACTGCTAACAAAAGATTGGTCTGAAGATGACAATAAACTGCTAACAAAAGATTGGTCTGAAGATGACAATAAACTGCTAACAAAAGATTGGTCTGAAGATGACAATAAACTGCTAACAAAAGATTGGTCTGAAGATGACAATAAACTGCTAACAAAAGATTGGTCTGAAGATGACAATAAACTGCTAACAAAAGATAGATCTAAAGTTAACAATAATCTTCTGCTGAATTGAATTGGTAAAAAAAAGAACAGTATTATTCCAATATTTTCATTTCGAACTAATCAATGTTTAAGTTTTAAACAGTTATAGGGGAGAGTCGGGTAGCCCCGGACACTTTAGGAAAATATAGATCGTACACATGTGCTAACAGAAAACAAAGTGTCAAAAGACTTTTTTTAAAAGTTCAAACATTCATTTATCGAACTATTGTGTATCTTAATAATATACAAAACATAAGAAAAAGTGTTAGAAAAAAGGCATATTTCAAAAATGGAAGGTAGCACATAGTTTAACCATGATTTTACCTCTTTTTTTACCAGTGTAACACAAATGTAATATATGAAAATTTAGCATTGGACTGTTCTCGATACATTTTTAAAAAAACCACCTTTAAAAATTGCCTCTGATATATAAGGAATGAGAATGAAAATGTAATCATTTAAAAATATAAATTTTCTTTTCAAATCTAATGTTTTTTTTATTGTTTATTATTAATATGTAAACGAATTAAGTTGTCCGGAGCCACCCTTCAAACATGTGTCCGATACCACCCAATCATACCTCATTCACAAATACTAGTTTTAAAACCACTGAATTAAAGTTTCGAACGAATTTTCTTTTAATAACTATTGTAAATAAAAATGTATCTTTAATTATTAAAAAGTTATTAGTTTACATAAAAATTAGGTATATAAATATGTGAATCAAATATGATGATACGTCGCTCTTTTGGTGGTGGGAAACAAAATCTTGCCCTCCCAGTCATTTCTTCGGTTTATAATGATAGATATTTTGCATATGCCATATTTTCTCTCAAATAATGGTATTATAGTATTAAAAGTCACATAACTTCTTTAGTTTAAGCGGTACATCAAGTGCCCGGATTTACCCGTCGTCCGGGACTACCCAACTTTCCCGTAGTTTATTATCTATTTATCAATCTACTTTATGGCAAAAAATAATGAAAGAAAGATGGACTAGTATTATTTTTGTAGTACATAGAGAGAGATTGACATTAGTTAAATGAAATTACGAAAAGAAATTCAAATAACAAAAAAATAGACTTATTCTTCTCACCAATTTAATTGGTGTGTATTGTTTATGCAGCATACTGAATGTTTTTTTACCATTGTCATAGCAAACTGTTATACTGAAAGATCATTCGCTACTCTAAAAGAGTACAGAATATTCACCGACCAAAACTGCTGTACAACCGTTTAAGTAATTTAACAATGCTATTTATTTTATATATTATATGTAATTAGAAATAATGGGTTTCAACATTTCGACAGCTGAGTCGAAAAAAAATAAAAAAAAAATCTTTTCATATATTTTGATAAACTATTTTAAATAAATAGAAATCATAAATTTAAAATAACTTTATGCTTCATGATATTTATAAATTATTGATCAAGTGTCTTTAAAGTACAATAAATCTTTAAAGTAGAATATATCTTCTTTTTACTGATTCACTTATATCAGCAGAAGATTATTGTTAATAATAGAATCAAAAGATTTTAACTTGTTTAGGTCAACAGAACAAAGTTTAGGACTTAAGGTAAGTCTAGTAACTAAGTGTAGTAACTAAGTTATAAAGTATGAAGGTAGGGATGAAAATTTCCCGCAAATTTTTAACATTGGAAATTTTGAAAATTTTGGAAACCTATTAATTATAAAATACTTGTCTATCAAAAAAAGATTATTTTTTAATTAATGCTTAAATTTTTATTTCTTATTTAGGCAGTTGTTAAGGACGATTTTATGGTAAAATATTGTGAAGTCGATTATAAAAATTTTAGAAAGATATCGTTCAAAAACACTTTTTTTTTGTAATGAATTTTATAAAATTGTTTTATCCTGTTACTTGCTAAGCATATTGAAGTTTAAAACCATAGCAAGCTTTGTTTAAAGCTTAACATAATTTTCCATCCCTAATAGGAAAGCGGTAGTGGGAAACTTTTTTGCAAACCATGGTCTTATTGGTGTAATATTTTTATTTTCCGTTTGCCATTAAATTGTTTACTTTTCTATATATTTTATGGACTTCAAGCAGAATCATAAATTATATTTAACTAAAAAAAAAACATTCCAGATTGAATAAAATATAAAAATTTCCATTTTATTTTATTTAAATGAAAAAAATGATAGGCAAACGTTTTTTTAAATATCGTAGCTGTAGTGGCCATTTGTAATCGTATTTTACCGGTTCTCAGTTCGCTCGCAGTTTGCATTTTACCGACTACCAAGGGAAGGAACATTTTTCAATGTCTATTATATTAGGCTGCAAGTTACTGAAAATTCTAAAATTATATACAAAAAGACTTTAAAAAATATCTACAGTATTTTAAATTTTTTGTTGTTGATTTAACGACGTTATTGATTAATGAAAGGCAAAAAGTAAAGAAAAGTTTTTGCTAAACTTGAGCTATTTAATAAAAATAAAGATCTAATGATTTCAAAGTTATAAATTCCGCCGCTATGTTTTAATAAGTGAGACAACCTTGCTAGGGTACTTTTGTCTTTATAAATCAATAAATTAAAAATTACACTATACATTAAAATGATTAAAAAAAGACAGGAAATAAATAGTTTGAAAGATAACATAATAAAGCTCAAAAGACTTGCCAACAACCAAACCATCCTAAAAAAACGAATTTTTAGTTTTATTAACACCTTTTTTTTTATTTACTTTTATTGATATTTAAACTTTAAAGTATTTTTGTATACTTAACAATTATAAAAGATTAACTGTGGTTCAACAATTTTTATCAAACAATGCGTTTGCCATTCATATAGCGCAACACCAACGATTAAACGACATGACTAGCTAACGCCAATTTCGGTTGGTGTAACTATCAATCATATGCATTTACGTCAACTAATGAAAAATGTTATTGACTAACTGTATATTCAATCCTGCTAATACCAACTAATGTAAAATGATTCAACAATGCAGACTGCTTGGATGGGTAATGTTATTAGAAAGTACTGTTAGTACCTTCGCATTCTTCGAGATACTAGATTGCGTGACCCTAATGTTTTTATATTTCAATATTTCAATTTTTTATTTTTCACACAATACTCTGGTCAAATAAGTTAGATCTGTCAGTAGCTGTTCAATTTTATTTAATTAAAAAATATTTATTTATTTTCTGTAATTGGGAAAAAGCTTTAGCCCATACACCATAACATCAAACAGATTTGGGTTGAGAAATACTATTTGTGGTTCACCACTTTTTATTCTGACCTAGTCAAAGAAACATTCTCTTAAAACAAAATTTGCTTTTTATTTTGTAGGAATTGATTATCTAGTTAGTTTATTTGTCCTTCATGAAAAATTTAGGCAATTGATGTATAATATGACATCAATTTGTCAAATTTGTCAAATAAAATAGTTACTACTGAATAAAAAAAATGAACTTTTAAGAAACATATTTTGACTTTTTATTAAATTTTCTAAACTGCCCAAATATATAACAGTTTGTAATAAAGTAATATTTAAATATAAAACGAAAAAGTAAAAATAAATGAATACTTTATTTATAAAAACCGTAATATATATGTATATTTTAAACCAATATGTATAAAAGTAAATTATATAACAATTCATTAATAGTTAAAAAAAAAGAACAAATGTTCAAGTTTTCAAATAAGATTTCAACAATAACTTTTAAGACTAGAGGAAACACAATAACTAATTTTTTTTTTTTTTTTTTTAATTATCTTTGCTTCTAACAAGGCTGCAAGCAACCACTAATTAGTGTTGGAAGTTACTGGAAGAGAAAAGATGAAGATTGTAGAGCAAAATAACGATTGACAGACAACTTAAAAGATTGCAAATTATATGAATCAGGAAAGCAAGATTAAGGAAGCGAATGCCAAAGAACTGATATTCGAGGAAAAAAACTAGACGAATAAGAGTTTTTTGAGCACTTAGGAACAGTAACAGAAAAAGAATGAGACTTAATTGAATGAGGAGTAACACGAGAATGAATTTTAGTAGGTGGCACAAGAAACGCTAGCTCTTTCGAGCAGTGTCCATCATAGTATTTGTAGAAAAGAGAAAGAGAAGCAACATTACGACGATGTGACAGAGGTTGAAGGTTGGCTGCAAGAGCAGGTCCAACTATGTTTACAATGCGTTTTTGCACCTTGTCTAAAAGAGAAAGGGCACCATTAGAAGATCCGCCTCAGATATGGCAACAGTATTCCATACAAGGCCGGATTTGAGATTTATAGAGATAAAGAATAGAATCCAGAGTAAGAAAGTGACAAGCTCGATAAAGAGAAGCAACTTTAGCAGATGCTAATTTTGCAACGGATTTGAGATCCTTGAATTAATGAAAAAAAGTTGATACATTCTGTGACATAACTTATATAATCAAATTTAAAATTGGATATGTTAAAATCCATAAGTAATAACACCTGCTTCGATTCATTTTCAAACTGTTCTATACTATTTTTTTTCGTATTTGTGATATCGGTAAACAATTTCCGAAAAAAAGGTCCTTGATATTGAATTGAATATGTAATTTGTTTTAAATAATATTTAGGGACAATGTAGTTTTGTCGGATATTTATGCACTACTTTTTCAAAATAGGACTGAAATATTTGAGGAGATAGTCCCAACCTTATTTCATACATGAACATTAAAACTTGGTGTAAGTTGATTTTATAAACGTTTAATGCACCAAGTATACCCGGAAGAGGCTCGCATCGTACAATTTTATCAGCTCCAAATAATATTTTGTACGCATGTTTTTGTTTACTGTACAATTGTTTTAACTTTGTATGATTTGTACTTCCCCATGCAATATTACAATAAATCAAATAACAATGAATGAAAGAAAAGTATACATTTAAAACTGGTTTAGCCCTATATATATGACAATATTTAGTTTATTACTTATAAACCACTCATTAACTTTGGCCAACTGTTCGTTAGCTATTTCAAAAAGTGTTTTAATAAATCTGTGGGAATAAAAAAGATTAAAGTCATCTGCAAAAAGAAATACAATTTAGAAGTCTGTTGCTAAATATAAATCATTTATATGTACTAGGAATAATAAGGGTCCTAAAATAGAGCCCTAGGGAACCCCACAAGTTACAGCATATGAAATTGTTTGTTTTTGTTCGTATTGTATAAATTGCTTTTTATTGGTTAAATATATTTTGAAGTAAGTTATTATTTTTTCACTCCATAATATTTAACTTTTTTTATTAGTATATTTTGGTTTACAGTATCAAAAGCCTTTGACAAATCAATGAAAATTCCTAATTTAAAGTAAAGGTTAATGAAAAGGCCTAGAGAAAAATGTGATATCTTGTAAAATTTAAAATAATGTTAAATAATGTAAAGGTTGATGTAATAATTTAAAGGTAATTTAAATGTAAATAATGTAAAGGTAATGTAACTGATGTAAAGATAAATGTTACTGATGTAAAGGTATTGTAAATGATACAAAGGTAAATAATATAAAGGTAAACTTAATGTAACTGATGTAGAGGTAATGTAAAATAATGTAAACGCTGGGATATCTTTTTCAAAAAACGTCCTATTATGCCCCCCCTTCTCCCCTATACTTCATTTTAGATTACTAAGGTATTATACAGAAGTTTTTAAACAGAATATTAAGAGACAAAAGCTACAAAAATCTATGTAGTTGTAAAAAAGAAAAAAAGTTATGAGATCTAATATAATTATTAGTAATAAATGAATAACTTGAGTCTATCTATTTTTGTCTGTTTAGTTTCTTTCCAAAGAAATAAATAAAAAAAGAAATAGTTACAATAAAAAGAAAAACACTTCTTATACATTTCTGATTTTAAAGGATAATTGTCACAATCTAGTGTAAAAAAAAAAGATTTTAAGCCGACGTAAGTGTGAAAAAAGCAAACAATTTGAAAAATGTTGATCAATAGAAAAGTCTTCGCTCCATTAAACTGGCGTAATTGTCATTTGGCTACATTTGGGTTAATAATTTTTTATTCGTTTTTGCTATAATAAGTATATAATAATAATGAACTTATTATTTATATACTTATATATAAATAATAAGTATTATTATGTGCTATAAAAAGTATATAAACAATCATTATAATAATTATAATAATCATATAAAAATATTATAAAAATATTATAAAAATATTATAAAAATATTATAAAAATATTATAAAAATATTATAAAAATATTATAAAAATATTATAAAAAATAGTTATAATAATCATATAAAAATATTATAAAAATCATTATAATAAAGTATATAAACAATCATTATAATAAGTTTATATAAGTTTATATTATAGCAAAATTTTATTCATAAATTAGCTTTCTGTATATTTATATTTGAAATTAATGCATAAATTTATTTTTGTTGTTAATTTAAGCATTAAATAGTGACTATAGTTTTGTAAATCACTAATTTATTTCAAATGATTTTTTTTTATAGGTAGTCGGCGTAATGGAAAGAAAGCATGTACCATGTATTGAAAAATATAATTACCTTCCATCAAATAGTATTTTCTATTTACGTAATGAAGTTTCAGTACAAAACTCAAGCAATAAAATAGTGAATTAAAAAAAGCATTTATTATCAAAGATTTTTATTTGCAAGTAAAAATGTTTAATCAAGTAAAGCTAATGAAATCAAGTAAAGCTGATGAAATCGATAACTTTGTGCATAGTTGCAACAAAACATTTGGAAAGATGATTTGTTGGCATAATGATGTATTTTGTTTCTATGAAAGCACAAAAATTATAATTTTTAAAGACGTTATTTTTTTTCTTTTAATTCAAAGCTAAAACTCTTTTTTTTTTATTTCTCTTTATTATAATCTTACCTTGAAATTTCTCTAACTCTAAATGAGTAAAAACGAAAATATTGTATGTCATTAATCCTTATTAATATTTTTGTGACATTTTTAGTTTAAATTAATTTAAAAATTTATTTTACTAATATAAATAAATTCAAAAAATAATTTTTTTTCAAAACCTTTTTTTGTCTTGATTTTTGTTCAGTTTAGTATAAAACTATGGGATATTATATAAAAGTAATTTTTATTATTAATATGGTCACACTTACCAATTCAGTGGTTACAATCAATCGCGTGATTGGAACTAATAATTTTTATGAGTTTTATCATGCTACGGACACCTTTACTAATTTAAAACAACAAGAATCTTTTTGTAAAGAATACAATGCAGAATGTTTAGAAAAAAGTTGCATGACCTGTACGTGTGCAGAAGATTACATATTTGTTTCATATTTGTACGGATGTGTAACCTATGATAATGCTGTGGGCTATTTAAATGGTATGTTTTAAATGCCTTTTCTTAGAATTAACTGTTATATTAAACTTACCAAAATAATGTAACAATATTTTTTAAAAAATGTATACAAAAACTAGAAATAGCAGAGCGTAAGCTTGAAGCAAAAGTCCTAAATATTGTGATACAAGCCATTGAATATAAAATAGTGATAAAGAGAGATAGTAAAAAAAGATCTGGACTTTTAAATGATTTTGATTTGTATTACATAAGTTTAAGTTACATTTATCATTTTCCTGTAAAAATTATAACAATATTGAATAAAACAAAAACTTTTCTATTTTAGGAACAATGTGTCTTGTCTATAGAGAAAATGCTGATTTCTTGCCTGCGGTGACAAGTGATACATTTCAAGATAACAAGTGTAAAAAAATCTCTGGCTCCAAATATCTTAATATATCTTTTATATATCAAAAATATAATTCGTGTGCGTATAGTGGTGTAGAAATCTATAATAGTTTATATGGTATAAAAGATATTCTGCCAAATAAAAGCTTAAATGACGTTGACGATATCCTTTGGAAAAAAGTAAACTTGAGTTTTTTGGTAGACAAAAAAAACGGCGAGATATGCTTGCAAGTAGGTTTTTTGTTATTTTAATTATGATTATTCATCCTATATTATATATTTTGTATTACTATATATTGTTTATTTTATATTAAATTATACAGGAATATTTTATTTTGTGTCAAAAATAGATGAAAAAGTTAAGGACTAAGGTTTTTAAGTTTTGAAGATTTTTAAGGTTTTTAAGTTTTGCAAACTTGAAAACTAGAGTCTCTATGAAAACTAAAAAAATATTGAAATTTTTTTCTAAAACCTTAAAGTATGAAGAAAAAAAAGGAACTTAAACTATACGTTATGACATAAGATGAATCCAAGAAAATGATATTAGGCACCAACTACTAGTTTTGCTATTATGTTACCGTTAAATCTTGTAACTTAAGTCGAAATAGGAAAACTGGTGCGATAGAGCAATTTAATTTGTGAGACGACTATCGATTTTTAAGTCGAAATTTTTTTTTGAAACAACAAAATGTGACAATTTTTTTTATGGGTAGACTTCGGTTTTAACAAAGATTTGTTCTTTAAATCTCAGATGCATCTTTAACTTAATCATTTTGCAAAACTATTTTGATGAAAGATTAAAAAAGTGAAATATTTTAATAAAATCAAAAGGTTTCAGTAAATGAACTGGTTTAAATAATCTTGCTTGAATAAACGAATAAAACTTATTTTGAGGAATTACAATGCCAATCGTATTGTATTTTCATATTAAGAGGATATTGTACTGTTCAATATCCATTTATTATGAAAATAATAAAAGATGAAAACCATTACAAAATACAAAATTATTTCCAGATTTCTGCTAAATGTCCATTAGATGTTAAAATGTTTGCACGTTAGGATAGTATCAAGGTGGTACTACCCTATAAAAAACATCAAAAACAAAAAAATTTTTTTTTAAGTTTTAACAGTTTGAACATCCTGGATCACGAGTATATTTTTTTTTCCTTAAGAAATCAATTTAAAGTACTTAAGTTAGTATTTAAAGGCAACTAGGTTATTTTCGAATCCCTAGCAACTGCCTTAGCAACCATGTTTGTTTATATGTTTGCTCTATTTTCACAATTTTTTCGTTGGTGTTGTAAAAAGGTTATTTTGATACAGAACAAAATAATAAAATCATATTTTTGTGGCCAGTTTAATGATAAACTACAAAATTTCTTATCTTTTATTTTCTATATAATCCCTTCATAAAGTTACAATAGCGTAAATATAGTTTTAATTAAGATCTCCATCTCGGAGCACACTCTTACATCTTCCCCTTTTTCTGTAAATGAAATGTTTTACTGTTTGTGTTTTATAATGTTTTAATACTTCCTCCATAATTCTATAGGACGTCTTTCTCTGTTAGGATTTGTCTTCAGAATCGGTTCTTGATGAAAGCTTTTTAGTTGTGTCGGCATAGTAGCTGTTATTTCCTTTTCTGGCAAAATTGATTCGTTCTGGAGTTATTCTTCATCTTTTTCTTCTTTAATTGGTATCGAAATATATAGTATACAAATTAATTGGTAATTAAATTGTATATCCGTTGGTACTTTCTTCATGTGTGAAGCATTTCGAGTTTTTTGAGAATTTTTGACGGAAGATTTTGCAGTGCTCATTGTACCATTCTTTGCAGTAATTGTGTAGGGTTTGAACTCGAATGGAGCCGTAATTTTTTTTGTTTTATCAGCACTGTATCCCCGATATTTAAACTTGGATTTTTTGCGTGGTATTTTAAATCGTGATATCTTTTTCTGTATAACTTAGCATTTTTTTGTCTCTTTTTGGCTTGATCATTGATATTTGTATCGATCCTTGTTTGGAATGAAGGTATTGTAAAACCTGTAACGCGATTAAACATGAGTGTAGATGGTGGTATTCGGGTTATGCAATGGGGTGTGGTACGGTAGGAAAACAGGAAGTTGTATAATTGCTTTTTCCAGTCTTTCCGTTCAATGTGTGCTGCTCGTATTGTTTTAATCAGTGGTTTCATAAAAGATTCGGGTTGTGAGTTTGCTTGCGGCCAAAGCGGGGTGATTCGTTTATGTTGAATATTCAGTTTGTTCAAAAAAATCTTTATTTTGAATGAAGTAAAAGGTGGTCCATTATCGCTGACAATCGTTTTCGGTATTCCATATACTGCAATCGTTTTTAATAAGGAGGTCAGCAGATGTATTATGTATAATATCGACAACCGGAAACTTTGATGTTTGGTCTATAAAGACTACCAAATAAAATCCATTAGGTAAAGAACCAGGGTAATCTATATTAACGGTGTCCCAAACTTCCTCTGGTGTTGGTGTGATTAATAGTTTGGCTGGTGCATATTGTTTACCAAGGGCTTGACAAATTGCACATCGTTTTAAATATTCTTCTACTTTAGTGTCTAGACCAGGAAAGTAAATTTTTTCTCTAAGTAATGATTTGGTTTTCTCAAGTCCTATGTGACTATTATGAGCAAGCTGTATAACCGTAGTTTCCAGAGAATGTGGAAGTACAATTTGATTTGCTTTTAGAATAAGGTCTGAAGTCTGATTTACTGTAAGTTCTTGGCGTATATTATGGTAAGCAAGTAAGTCTTATTGAAATTTTTTTAGTTCTAGCGGACAATTCGGATGTAATAATTTATGCCAGGTATTAGTAGTAATTAACTCTGTAAGTATTTGTAGAATAGGATCAGCTTTAGTTTCTCTTTGAATATCCAGTAGTGAAAGGGCTTTAGGGCGTGCGTATTCAGCTGTAAAATTGACATATTTTTCTCGCCCTTCGTCCTCAAAAGGGTCTACAGGGTGTCGACTAGAATAATCAGATATATTATTTTTTTCTTTTTACGTAGTGTAGATTAAAAGAATATCCCTGTAATCGTAAAGTCATACGCTCAATGCGAAGTGGTACTGTAGCGTTTGGGTTGTTTAAAATCTTTACAATACCTTCATGGTCGCTGTACATTTTTAAAAGGTTTCCAAATAGGTATGTTTTGTTATGCTCGCAGGCGTATACTATAGCTAAACATTCTCTTTCGAGCGTAGAGTAGCGTTGTTGAACAGGCGATAGTGCTTTCGAATTATAAGATATTAGTTTAAAATCTTGTTTATTTGGAGTGTTTTGAACAATGACTGCCGATATGTCGACAAGACTTGCATCGGTGAAGACAGTAGTCTCTTTGTTGGGATCGAAGTATCCGACACATGAGTCCAATGTCATAGCGTTTTTTAGTTTGTCAAATGCACGCTGACACTCAAGGTTCCAGTTCCATAAGGAATCTTTATGCAGAAGGTTTCTCAATGGATAAGTAATTGTACTGTAGTGTAGAATGAAACGTTTAAAATAGTTCATAAGCTCGAGAAAACTTTGGAGAGCTTTAGTGTTTTCTGGTGTTGGCATGTTCTTGATATTTTAAAGTTTTTCCGGATCTGGTTGCGTTCCTTCTTTTGATAATATAAATCCATAAAATTTGACTTTTTCTTTTCCAAATAAGCATTTTTCAAAATTTAGAGTTAAACCTCTCTGTTTAAATCTTTCTAATACTTTATGTAATATTAAATCATGCTCTTTTGTATTCGTAGCGAAATTTAGAACATCGTCGGCAATGTTCAAAGTACCTTCTATATCTTTTAAAACTTCTTGTAAAGCATTTTGTAGTTCCTCCTGCGTGGAACTTTAACCTTTAACCTTTTCTCTAAGTGCAAAAGGAATTCTTCTTTCTTTTTGTGCGGTTGGTAGTATACTTTCATTAATTTCCAATTTTACTTGGTAGTTGAAGAGTTTTCTTATTTTACCGCTAAAAACAGAATTTTTGTATGAGTTTATAAGTGGTTCTAATCGTTTTGGAGCGTTTAGAAGGAGAGTATTGTTTAATTTGCTTATATTCTGCAAAGAATGGCAAACTTGTTGTTTACTGTCGTCATGGTTATTTTGTTCTCTTTGGCCTTTGTTTAAAAGTTTCTTATTGACGTCAGTATTTAGTTGTATTAAACCGAGTAACTTAGCGTCATTTCCAGATAACAGATTTTTGTGGTGTGTTTTAACCACGTAAAAATGTGGACTGACGAAATTTGGTTTGACTTTCTATCACGACATTGTCCTTCTCTTTTGAGCTTTGGATTGTTATCCCCGTAAGTAATAATCTGAGTTTTAGATTTTTGTAGTCGAAGTTGTCTTTTAAGGAAGTTGTTTATCTTTTCAAATGTTTTAAAGTTTAGAATGTTTATCGAAGCTCCGGTGTCTATTAGAACAGTTATTGGTATATTTTCTATGTTAATCGTTACCTCAAAGTTCTCAAGTATCTGTTTAGCATTGACAGAGTGCAATTCTCCTTCGTTTAACTTTGACTGAGGATTTTCGAATTCATTGATATCTTTGTAAATTGTATTTAATGGTTTTGTATAACCTTGTTCATTTCTTTTGTATTTCTTTTGATGTATTCTTGTATTCTTTTCGTTTTGTTTTTTTAGTTTTACAGACTGTTGCAAAATGTCCGATTTTCCCGCAGGAGTGGCAAGATTTCCCTAAAGCTAAACATATATTCGTGTGTGGAAATTCGTTTCCACATCGATAGCAAGTTCTTTTTAGTGACTTAGTTTCTGTCTCATGTGGCGCTTGACTGGTTTGTGGAAATTTTGTATTCTATACTGTATTTACTTCTTTTTGTTTTATCGTTTCTTTCACAAGTTCTTCTATTTGATGGTCCATCAGCTAAAATGTTTAGGCAGTAGTTAACAAGTCCTGAAGAGTTTTGTTAGGATTTTGGAAACAGTGTTTCAGTAGTTTTGAAATATTTGTGCAAAGCTCAATTTGTTGTTTAATTTCTTTATCCTTATCAGTAAACTCGCATTTGATAGCTTGTTCGTTTAATCGAACGAAAAACTGCTGAGAGGTTTCTTCTATACGTTGAGCCATCTTGCGAAAAATAAAGATTTCATGGCTCATTTTTACTAGGGGCTTGAAATGTTCGTTAAAAGCTTCGACAGCTTTTTGGTATGGGATTAGCGTATCTTGAGGTATAATGTTTTCATAAATTTTGTAAGTGTTATCTCCAATTAAAGTTAGAAGTAACGAAAGTTTTTGTTTATCTTCTGTAATTACAAGTGAATCTCAAAGTAGCTCAAATCGTTTAATGTGTCGTTTCCAGCTTGAAAATAACTTACTTGCTTCTTCAGTACATGAAAACGGTGGAAAATTTGGTAAATTAAGGTTTTTTATAGCCATGGATAAATACGCTTTTTACTAAAATCTTCGTTAATTTTTTTTATTATTTTAAATTTCTTTTCTTTTATCTTCGTCGCCAATTTAATGATAAACTACAACATTTCTTATCTCTAATTTTCTTATAATCCCTTCATAAAGTTACAATAGCGTAAATATAGTTTTAATTAAGATCTCCATCTCGGAGCACATTCTTACAGCCAGTTTAATTAGAGATTTATTTAGTTAATAACATTTTTTATTTTAAAAGCTGTTTTTCTTGGAATAATATCTTTCAAATATTTCTAAACTAGAACATCTCAGAAACTATTAACTCTTTTTCTTTGAAATTTTCACAGTTTGTTCATTGATGTTGTAGAAAAGGCTGGTAGTAGAATAAACAAAAAATACTTTTTATTTCGACCAGAATTTAAAATTTTACAAACCCCCACGAACCATTTTTAATGATATTTACAGGTTAATATCTGCCATTTTACTTTGGCTCTGTATTTTTAAAAAATTCTACTAGAGTAGAATTTTTTTAAAATTTTACTTTGGCTATACAAACGGTTTACAAAAATTATAAAAACGGTATACAAAAATTTTACTAAGGCAAATACAAACGGTTGTTCAAATATTTCACCATGAATAAAATTATAAAACATTAAAAGTCATGTTTTCATTAAAAAACTTGAAAACTTCAAATTTTTTTGTTACTCTGGAGTTTATAAAAACAATGATCTAATAGATAAAAAAAAAAACTAGATTTAATAGAAAGAAATAAAATCTTTACTAAACGTTTCAAAAAAACAGTAAGAATTTAAGAACTATAAAAACTTTTTTATTTAAAATCCAAAATTCAAATTGTATTCAACAAAGTAAACTAAACTTGTTTCTGTGTTTTATGGATGAAAAAATCACTTTCGTATATTATTCCATCACAATTGAACTGTTCATCACTCTTTCGTTGCCGATATACATAAACTTTGCTGTTGTTATAGGTTAAATACCCGAGCAAACTTTTGAAATAGAGTCTTGGAGTTCCTGAGAACAAAAACACATCTTCAAGCGGATTTTTGAGGGAAAAATTTCTATGCAAAATCTAAAAAATAACATTATAAAGTTGTTTTTGATTGTTAAATAAAGTTTAAATAAATAGTTAATGAAAACTTTTTTAGTATATAGTAAAAAAGGTTTTTGTTACTTTTTTGATAAAAAAAATACTAACAAAACTTTATTTATAGTTTTTTATATACATATTTTTAAAAAACAAAATTTGTTTTTAGGGCAACTTCAATGGTTTTACGATAGTAACTGGAAAAATAGTTAAAATGCTTATTAATTGTCAAGATGTAAACCAGTCATTTTTGAATACATGCATTTTGTTTAAGTATGCAGGAAACTATAACATAGGTATATCTACAGCAAATATCTGCAGTTTTACAACAAATAAATTTTTGAGTGTTTTTTTTTTTATCTAATTTTTTTTTAACCGTGATTGAATTTTATTTTTTGAGTAGGCTTTTTATATTTTAAAAAAAAACTTAATAAGTGATATATGGATGTGTTTTTATGTTTCTTTTATAAATTTCTTTTTTTTTTTACGTAACATATATTTATTGCATGGATATTAATAAATTTATCATGTTTTTATAAAGATAATCTTATATTTAGATATAGATTTTATTCAGAGTACACAAAATGTAAGTTTTTGCAATACGAGAGAAAGGTATTTTATTGTCAATTTTGAAAGTCTAAAGATCATACTCTCAAACTCTATAAATATTGCTTATTTTCTTATAAAATTGCTCAAGTTATTGAGAAATATTTCTTGACATAGTGAAATATATCGTCTCTGGTACTACTACTCCTACTACTAGTTGTGTAGTAATAGTAGTAGTAGTAGTAGTAGTAGTAGTAGTAGTAGTAGTAGTAGTAGTAGTAGTAGTAGTAGTAGTAGTAGTAGTAGTAGTAGTAGTAGTGGTAGTAGTAGTAGTAGTAGTAGTTGTTGTTGTAGTAGTAGTAGTTGTTGTAGTAGTAGTAGTAGTAGTAGTAGTAGTAGTAGTAGTAGTAGTAGTAGTAGTAGTAGTAGTAGTAGTAGTAGTAGTAGTGGTAGTAGTAGTAGTAGTAGTTGTTGTTGTAGTAGTAGTAGTTGTTGTAGTAGTAGTAGTAGTAGTAGTAGTAGTAGTAGTAGTAGTAGTAGTAGTAGTAGTAGTAGTAGTAGTAGTGGTAGTAGTAGTAGTAGTAGTAGTTGTTGTTGTAGTAGTAGTAGTTGTTGTTGTAGTAGTAGTAGTTGTTGTAGTAGTAGTAGTAGTAGTAGTAGTAGTAGTAGTAGTAGTAGTAGTAGTAGTAGTAGTAGTAGTAGTAGTAGTAGTAGTAGTAGTAGTAATAGTAGTATTAGTACCAGAGGCGATTCTAAGAATAAAATAATGAGAGGGGGTGAGTTCTTAAAAACAACTTATTTTACCGATTCTAAAATTTTCAGGACCCCTTTTCGGGGTCCGGGGCTATAGCCCCCCTCGTCCCTTTTGATCCGGCACTGTGTCAAATACTCGACTAGTCGACTAAAATCGTCAAAAAACCAATTATAACTTAAAAACCACCATATTTGGGAGGTGGGGGTGGAACACCGGTAAAATGCCTCTGACTACTACTACTACTACTACTACTACTACTACTACTACTACTACTACTACTATTACTACTACTATTACTACTACTGCTACTACTATTACTACTACAACTACTAATACTACTACTACTACTACTGCCACTACTACTACTGCAATTGTTACTACTACTTTTACTACTACTATTACTACTACTGCTAATGCTGCTTCTGCTAAAAGTTCATTAATTTAGAAATCAACTACTGGAATAATTGTTGGAGTATGCCTTGCTTGCTTATGTCTACTTCTTATTGTTTTGCTTTTTGTTTTCTGGCTAATAAGACGAAGAAAACCTTTGTATGAATATTTTTTTATTAACTTCTTTTTTGTATAAAAAAATTTTTTTATGGAGTAAAGTTTGGTATATTTATTGCCTTCTATCGCAAATTTGTTATCAGCCATAAATTCATTTATATACATATTGACACCTAAGAATTTTTTTTATATAATCTACGCGTAGAGCTTTGCATATACGCGTATATGTACACATCTTTACATATAGACGAATATGTAAATATATACATATATATATATATATATATATATATGTATATATATATATATATATATATATATATATATAACAATAAAGTAATAAATATAATATTAGTTTAATAATTTTTCTGATAATAAGTAATAATGATAAGTTTTCTGGTTAGTAGCCATCAACGCAACCATCAAACCAAGCAACTATTTTTTACAAATCAGTTAAAATCATTTTAGAAGAAGTTTTTCTTTTTAGATCAGTTACTACAGATGAAGATGCTGAAAAAGAAAATGGTAAAAACTTGATACTTTTTTAAATGATTTTTTTAACTTTATAAACTAAAAAAAAATGCTTTAACATTTTTTTTAATTTGTTTTATAGACTATCAGGAGATTGCTACTCGTTATGAAACTATTCCAGATGAAAGTTTGGTAAATTTTTTTAATGATTTTAGAATATTTTGTAAAAAATATATTTATAAATTTTTAAAATAAGATTTCTTTTAATAAATTTAACTCTATTTGTCTAAAATATTTAAATTTATAATGCTTAGAGGAAGTATTAATACCCTCGTTATCAAGTATATTAGAAAACTCATAAAACGTCACGAATCAATGTTCTTTGTAAGAGTTTCTTTTTTGAGGAGATTTTTTGTTACGGAAAAAAGTACATCTACAATTTTGTTCTATTTTTAAGTGTCTTTACGTGATGTGTGTCATAAATGACGGTGAATACGCTTTTCTCTATGCTTTTTTCTATCTCGACTACTGCTTATCTTTCTAACTCGACTACTTCTTATCTTGACAACTTCGTATCTTTCTAACCCAACTACTACTTCTGACTTTTAATTTATTTCTGTTTTTCTTAAAACTCACTTACTCTTGATCCGTGGAGGCTGGTTACAATGTTCTTTAGTGAGCGGAATTTGTCTTCTTGGTATGTAGCCTCCGTATGGCAATAAGCTGGAAGAAGATAAACCACAACATCTAAAAGTTTTTTAAAGAGAGTTTTTTGTGACATTAGAATTTGAATATAAGTTTTCAATATGACTTCGTTTCATAATCGCTTCCATCCCGGTTAAGATCATTGCCCCGAAAAATACTTTCAAGGTGTTGTATTTTAAACACTTTACTAACTTTCCTGATATAATTAATTATTTGAATTTTTGTATTTTTAAAGTATTGCAACTATTTCACTAACGGTGGCAAAATTCGTTCCAGTAGAAAAATTAAATGCATAATCACATCAAATAGAATAAAATCCAAAAAAAGAAGCAATATATGTAATATATATATATATATATATATATATATATATATATATATATATATATATATATATATATATATATATATATATATATATATTCATATATATATATATATATATATATATATATATATATATATATATATATATATATATATATATATATATATATATATATATATATATATATATATATATGTATATATATATATATATATATATATATATATATATATATATATATATATATATATATATATATATATATATATATACATATATATATATATATATACATATTTTATATATATTAGATATATACCTTGCCATCTTCAAAAGAGTTAAATCATTAAAATGCATGACAATTACGGGTGACAACTGTGATACAAATTTTAATGGAGTTAGTAGAAAAGGCAGCAATAACGTTTTTTAAACTTTAATTTAGGGAAAAATCTTATTAGAATTGTTGTCAAGCTCATATATTAAACAATGCTATTTATCATGCGTTTGACGCGATACCGATAGGTATTAAATCTGTGGTACTCAAAATCAATAATTATTTTAACATTTCTACGATTCGAACTGAATTTTTAAAAGATTCCAATTTTGTGGAGGTTCAATAAAAGTTTCTTTTTTATCATTTAAAAACAAGGTGAATCTTTCTTTGCTATTTTAGACTGTTTAAAAAACATAAATTTAAAAAAAAAATCGAAAGAACATCTGTTTTAATTTAAAAAAAAATTCATTTGTTGATGCTGCTTCTGTAAAAGCTGTTAATTATCCAGTTTATATTGTCAAACTATTTACAACATAGAGATATTTCTTTATATAAAGATTTTATTATAAAAAGGTTTGTTAATATATAAGTTTATGCGGCTTTCTATAGTTTAAATGTGGCCAACCTTTTATGAACAAAAAATGAACTAAAGTAGATGAAAAAATTAAATTCAAAACAGGCCTATTGCAAAAAAGAATTGTAGGAGATTTTCGGAGAGATAAAAAGAAATGACGATTTAAATTCAAGATTTAAATGTGAAATCTAAATCAATATTTTTATGTGTTTATAACCCAACAAAAAGTATTACGACTTTAGCAACTCGGTTATTAAGTTTCGATGGTGATCCGTCAATCTGAGGAAAATACAGATTCATTTGGAAATTTATATAAAATTTACAAACACAATATAAACGTCTGAGAAGCAGTGGTAAAATATGTTTTCTCAAAAAGTCTTCGACAAATGATTTAAATTTTAATAGTTTTAGAATATGCAAGTAAAGTGCTTTCAAAATCATTAAAAAAAAATATTTATAGAATAACTTATAGAAACACTTATTTGAAAAATAATGATATCAAACTTTTGAATGAAACTTGCTGATTGTTTGAAAACACATTACCAGTGCTACTTAAATAATTGCAAGCTTTTTACCCTATTATTTATATACTTATTTATTTATCATTCATTTGTCATTGAAAAAAAGAATACAATGCCGTGTTATAAAAATAAATTCTACATCACCGGGGCTAAAAGAAGACAATATTTGCCTTATCACTACATATACCCTAAACATATAAAAATTCTTGTAAAGAGGAAGATTTGAGATAAGAATATATATTTGAGATAAACATATGAAGTATTCTTGTCTTGCAAGAAATTGGTGTGGGATTTTCTTAATTAAAATTTTTGCAAAGATTTGCCTTTAATCGCATTTTTCTTTTGGAACCCTCAGCAGCATGTTTTATCCTCAACGTTAGAGGTGTACCGGATATTTTTGCTAGATATGCCGGATTGTCAACTTTTTTTAAGTTCTCTAAGTGTTTATGAAGTAAAAATAAGTTTTTTCATTCTACATTAAATGGTGTTCAAGAATTAAAAAAATAAAATCAATAAAAAACTGGTATAACGCAGGTAGGATAAAACCTATATGCGTTTATAATGTATAAAAAAAAAATTTTCTTTTATAACCAAATTTTTGTTTTTTTTTTAACTACTATTTCCTATACTTCGTCAGCACATATACCATGCCGTACAGTTTTTCACTGATTTTTTAAAGTAAGATCTTAAATACTATTTCGCGAGGTTAGAATTATTTTGTTCTCCACATTTTTTTGTTTCGAGATAAAACGATTTAAAAAATAAAAACTTTAGGAGACGTCATATAAAAAGATTTTTATTACTTATGTTTTCTCCGAAACTTTTTTGATTTTAATTTAGGTTTTAATATTGTAGAAAAACAATATTTTTAGGTACATGACACAATTAATAACTCATTTTTTTCAAAAAGTGGAGATAGAACAAAATAATTCTAACCTCGCGATTTATTGACTGGCAAGACTTTTTCTTCATAAACGTTTATAGAACTTTAGAAAAGTTCATTATCCGGCATATCCGGCAAAAATATCCGATACATCTCTACTCAACATATTGAAACCAGATTTTACTGTTGTAATCCTCAACATATTTAACTCAAATTTTACAGAATAATGGTTTGATGATTTACACAACAATTGTCAAAAAATTAGCAGGTAAAAATCGTATAATCAGCTGATTATTTAAAAAGTTATAAAAACAACTTTTAATTTTTTTTACAATGATCAACGAGAGTTTAGTTTGATTAACTAATGTTAATAAGTTACAAAATAAGTACTAAGTAACGTTTAAAAGTTATATATTCAAATAAAAACGTTAAGAAAGGTATAAATAAAGTTAAGAAAGGTATAAATAAAAAAAGAAGTTTGAATTTAATTTTTTATATTTAAAACCCTTTCTTTGCTTATATATTATTCAAATTTATCTCCGCCTTTTGATAATAGATAAACAATAGAATTCGGCTAAAATTTTACTTTTATAACTTATGATAAACTCAAAGTCTAAGAAACATTTTAAAAAGGGCCAATAAGGATTGGTTTATAAAAAAAATCACTGATGAGAATTTAAAATATGAATCAAGTAGCGTTAAAAATAGTTTTATTATGTGTCAGAAATAAAGAAAAAAAATAGATAATAGACCGGGTGAATAAAAATGAGCAGTTGCTTTTACTCAGTATTTAGTCAGCTTTACGTGAATAAAAACTTTTTTTCTCAAATTTTTATTCATCTAAAGTAAAGCAATTTACTTAGTAATTGCTCAGCTTTACGTGAATAAAAACTTTAGCTGTTTTTCTCAAATTTTTATTTATCTAAAGTAAAGCAATTTACTTAGTAATTGCTCAGCTTTACGTGAACAAAAACTTAAGCAAAATTCCTGTTTTTATTCACGTAAAGCTGACCAATTACTGAGTAAAAGCAAATGCTCATTTTCATTTACCCGAGCTAATATAAAATAAAGTATAAAAACACAAAAATATTAAATACGATTATTTTCTTTTACTCGATTAGATTATTTATTTACTAGTCGAGAAGGAAACATCGTAATAGCAGAGCTAATCGAGACGAGTTCCCTTCGTACCGAAGTACTACTCATACGCTGAGAAGGCGGAGCCGGGATTTGAACCTTCAATCCTGCTGCTACGGCCAATAATTATTCCGAACTTTACAGCAGCGCTTTAACCAACTGAGCTATCCCGGCTCGAAAAAAGCTTTCAAAATCTAGTCTACAGTTACTACAGTAATATAAAAACTTGAAAAATTAAAAGATTGATTTTGATCTATTGAAAAAATTTGGATCCGAGCAGGTTGGATCAAAAAATAGCAATTAACCTTTTTTCTTATCAAATTATTTAATAGTAGAAACAAGTAGTCAAAATCCTAAGTTTACAATCTCATCGTCTTTTTTTCTTCCAATTTATTTAAACGCACGATTAAAACTTCTATGATGATTTTTTATATTCAATTTTTGAATTGTTGGTATTAACAGGGTACAAAGTGTGGTAGCTTTTTAGTCTGGTAAAGAAGCAAGCTCTACAAGTTTAGGCGCAGTACCATTATTCTTATTATAAAACTAAATTATTTTTGGAAACAATTTTATTGCATTGTGGTTAGATCCGTCAGTGGAAGTTCTAATAAAAGAAATGTCTGCTAATGATTCTATTGTTCTCTGTGATGAATTAAATGTCAACGCGTTATCTACAATGGCTTGTGTTTTTGTACACGTACATGACATTTTACTTGCAATTTTTTGTACATGTACATGTAATCTTACCTGTAATTTGAAAATCAGAAAAT